TCAACGCAATGTCACCCGCCAGCTAGCATTAATCGACGGGTTTTAGGCGTCCATTATGAAATTCAGGGCGATTCGTCAGTTTGTCGCCACTTGCGTTAACACGAGTTCCGCAAATATTCCTGCAATGTTGATTCCTGTCATGGATCCATCTTTCAAAATGCATGATTTCAAATTTGCAGAATGACGTGCTCTGTCATCATGCTTACATCGCCTTCGGTCGTTTGAAAGCTCTCACGAATCAAGTAAGGGAGCCGTCGAGAGGCAGAGTTCTTCAAATGTTGCATTATTTCTCCCGTATGGCAGAAACATTTGTATTTGGCAAGCAAGTAAAGGGCCAACCAAGGAAGGAAATCACTCGATCTTCAAACGATTTCCCATGCCAAGAACTTGAGGACTTTAGTGCTTGAATGAAATGAGACAGATCTCAGCAGGTTGCATATTTCGTGCGTCTGGGTTATTCTACATCTGAAGTGCTACCTGAATATTATCTCGATTCGATCTCAACCCTCCTAGTTTGTTTTTTTTTTCACCGACGCCCCCTCCCCCTTCCATGCACAACTAGACTATTTATGTCGGAATGAGGGAGAGGCATCCCAGTCCCGCAGAGGCAAGAAGACGCAGGACTGATTGCAGTTAGGGAGTAATAAGCTAACATCAGCCTAACCTACTCTTCCGTGCGGATCAAGATTGAGATTTTGAGTCAGACCGGTGGGGCCTCTCGTAAGTGACATAAACGCGTTAACTTTCTTGTATCCACTACCTTTCTGAGAATCACAGAGAGTTTTGTTGAGTCAGATTGCCACTTTGGTCGAATATATCTAGAAAATCAAATATCTTCACTTGCTTGGTCTATGGAGAAAATATCAAGTACCATGCAAAAAGCGCCATGGACACGTGTTGATCGTATATATGGGGTAATAACGGGGTAATAAAGTAACTTCCTGTGTTGGGGACTTGTGGTCATAGCGCTTCGGGGTTAGGAAATCTTGTTTCTTCGCATGCCTCGTCATATATATCGCCTGATATCTATTCATGTAAGAAAACATTGAGCCATAACATTCAGGAGGCGGCATTTTATTGAACCTGTAAGCAATGCTGACGTGGTGCTGAGTTATCACGTTTCTCTCGTCTGATGTAACAAAATTTTGATTAAAGTTTGTTTCAAAATTCATGAGTAGCAATTTTTCCCACTCGCAATGTCAAAAGAGGGAGTGTGCTAAGGAACGCGCCTGAACTCAACGAAAGAATTTTCGATGGGTCCTCCTTGGATGTGCCCTCCTTGGATCGCAAGCCGAAGTAGCACGCCAGCAAAGGCATCCACGCACTTGCTCCTTCGACAACTTGAATGGTATATGCTCATACTCATGTTCAGAGCAAAGAAATACATTGAAATTTTCCTAAAGCCTATATTGTGCATGACATGAACCTAGAGGGACTTCCACTGGAAGCGTAAGCCACGGTGACAAGCAGGAATTAACTTCCCCACTTTGAAGACACGTTGAGAGTCCGTTAGTTATCCACTTCCTACTCTTTTTTATTTAACTCTATGAGTTGTTCCTACTTCCTACTCTCCTACTAACCTACTTGTTCCTTTGCTCACAACCTCTGTTTTCGATGTCATCAACTTGAACTGAAACATCCTTTCTGACGACGTGCCTAATCTGATTATGCGTGAATATTTTCGACCATTTCCTTCTTATTCGGAGACTCTCCTCCCTTTATGAAAGAGAACTATTTAGGTATATTTCCTGTTGGCAAAGAAGGAGCTGAAGTAAATGTAATTTTGTCTCAACGTGACTCAGAGGCTCTGCCGAGCTTAGCGATTAAGAAACTCGCAGTAAATGATTATTCTTTCGACTGTTACCGGTTGGATTTGAAAAACATTTATTTACTTGGCAAATTCGAAATCCGGAATATTTTCTCTTTCTATCACTTGGCGAGGGAGACATGACTTTTGAAATGTTGGTTTTCAGGCATGTATAACACAGTGAGCGAATTTCGTAGCACTCGAATTACTCCAGCCGAAATGAGTGTAACATCTCCTATGGAATGTCCAAAATACCAAAATACAATATTTATCGCAAAAATAAGGGTTTATGAAACCTGAACTACATATCTTCCTCAAAGTGTAAAAATTTCTAAAAAATTCACAGCTCCATCATCTTTTGTGGCATAGAACGTGAAACCAAAATTGCAGTTGTAAGAGTCCACCTCTGGATCATTTTTCAGAGGTAAACATTTGATTATCTCTTTTCAATTTCCTCATGTCAAAAATGAAAGTCGTATATCCCAATTTTTATTTTTATTTTAGGAATCTTTGACCCATATTTTACGATTCGGGAACACAAATAAAAATAAGTTTCATATCTCGTGTAAATGAGTTTTCAAATGCCTATTTGACGACATGAGTTTCGTTCTGTTACATTTACATATCAAAGATATATGAAGATTATAAGGCCTGGCGTTGTCGCGAACTATAATGATACACTATTTGAACCATTTCCTGGCGATTTTCTGCGTTGCGTAAGACACACATGATACTAGTACATCAGCAACGGACAGAAATGTTCAAGGGACTACAGTCACATCACAGGACTGCTGTGCCTTTTCGCAAGAGAAGTTATGTCCCAATCTGCGTGAAAAACGCAATGTGAATCGAGTAGCATAAACCTGAAGCAATGAGTAGTTTCTAGAAAGGTAGCTAATTCAGGAACTACCAGAGTAATCATGAGAGAGAGTTCAAATCATTTCAGTCCAAGTCTCCATACGTGCAAATCACTTAAATTTGCACAACGTGTGAGGATTACCAATTTGGGAAAATGTGAAAATACAAGTATATTGTCTGGAAAATATACCTCTCCCATGTCTACTTAAGTGACCAAGGGGAAAGGACAGGTCACCATTGTTCAAAAGGAACTGTTAATCGCCAACTCTGAAAATATAAATGCGCCGAGAAAAGTATGAAAACATAAGAGGCAAGAAAATAACTCCAAAAGGACACAGTATTACTTAATGAAAGTTCCATTGGTAACTTAAAACGGTTTAAGTAAATAGCAACTAGTGTCTAATTCGAAAGAAGTTAAGGCATTGGTCAACTACTCTTTAAGTAGGTTGTGGACCCATCCACAATTCATTATGCATGCCAGTGAAGAAAAGAAATTCAGCAATTTTGGGCGTCATTAGAACTTTATGGGAAAAAAAGTTCACAGAGACCAATTTCATTTTCATTCGATAATTATAAGCACACAATTTCAAGCATCACCCCTGCATCAATGCAATAAATATCTTCAATATGACAATGTGGCCTTACCATCACCACAGACATCACAAAAAACATGATATGAGATCCCAAACCACAAGCGAAAGTCTTCATCATGCTCACAAAGGAGCAGACGGGATAGGAAATCAAATAAGAAAATGAACATGGCAACAACAAGAAGTCTGCAGCTTGGGAGTTTTCACAAAAATCATTCTTTTATGCTAAGATTTTGTCTTGAGGACGCATAAGTGTGTCACCAAAAGCATATATCTTACGCTCTGGTCGAAATAGCGCGGAATGACCCTTCACTCTATTCAGCATTCAGAGCTACCATTGCGAAATGAGAATCACCGCACCCTCCTGAATTCCACTCCTCTGGAAGGAAACTAGGCGAAATACGCTAAGATTAATTGGTTTCCTTATTTGTAAAATGAATTGAAGGATTTCCTTGGTTTTCTTAGAGAATGATTCCCTCTTGACGCTTTTTGTCCCCGTTTCAACTTCCTTCACTTGAATGATTTGTAGACTTCATCAAGGTGAGAAAGGAGTCCAGGGAAAATGCTCCAGGAAATTCCTGCCGTCCTCCAGCATCCGAAATTCCTTATTGAAGAATGAGATGAAGCTGATGAACTCCGAGCCAATGCCATGATAGATGGGCAGATATATGATTTATAAGCCTGACGCATTCATGAAAGTATCGAGGAAAAAGGGGCCATCCCATTCGTTAATGTCGAGAAAGTGCCCGTTGTTCAAACAGATAACGTCACCGCGTCAATCGGAACAATGCACCTGGCAAGCAAAATGCAGTCTTGACACTGTCGTCATTCAGGATCGATTATGGAATGCAGTTTGGATTTCCCAATTTTCCTCTTTCAGGGATTCTTTGTATTTACACATGTAACGTATGCCGGCCTATGACCGCAAGTCCAGCGTATCAATAGAGTCCAGGAGGGGAGGAGGCGGAAGGAGGTGAACTAAAACATCCATCAACACGTGCAGGGAGGCGAACCTAGTGTTTGGGGTCAACCATCACGTAGAAGGGCTCCGTACAGTTTATATGCAGGATCCTTCCTTCTCGAATGTGCTACCCAAACACTGGGCAAGGAGCCATATCATCATTATGAGAATGAGTATCAAAGTCCCTCCAATCAAGTCCAATCGCCAAAAACCGATCCTCCAATCCAACAAGCGTTCAGCGGAAGATCCCTCCCTCGATCCCTCACTCCGAGGTGCCTGAAGAGCTCGAACTCGAAGAAAGCGAGTCAGTACCGTTTTGACCGGGGTACTCGGGCCCTTTTAGATCGTGGGTGTTTCGAAATTGGCCGCCTTTCTCTCTATAGAAACATACAGGGGAACAACGATATAGTTAGAGGATTCGTTTCGAAGGTCGTGAGTTTTTCCCCCGAACATGCAACGTTTTATGTGGAGGGAAGTGAAAATCAGCCCTTTGTACTGTACTGTACTGTAAAGGGGGTTGGACTGGTTGTTTGACTAACATTTTTTTTTGTCCTTTTTTTATCATTAATTTTTCTTTTTGGAAATACAATTTTTTTTTGTTGTCTTGAATTACGCCTTAGTTACTCCCACTCGAATTTGAATTGGCACGGACCTGATTTCCTGGAAGGGGATTCATTGTAGTGGAATCGGGGCGCGTTAAGGCAAAGTTTCTATTTGAACTTAATTAATAGTTGATATGATCAGCAATCCTACCGACTGCGCCTCGTGCCCGTTACACAAGTGATCATATCTATTTTCAAATCTAATCATACCTCCCATCAGATGGCTTATGCATGAAACTCCATTTCATGCCTGTGGGAAAGCCAGCACCTCCCCGCCCTCGTAAACCAGATATCTTGGCTTCATCTAGAGAGAAACATAAGCAAAAAGTCAAGACAAAGTGCCCTACTGAACAGGTACCACAAAATCTATCCATCAAATGAATAAGGGAATTAAAGGTTACAGGAGTGATTGGCATATCTTTAAACCAGATTTCACAGTTCATCCAAAGTAGAATGCCTAAAGAGAGCATTCCTTCTGAACTGACTTGTAATCCACTCAGGTCCTTTCAGGATTATTTCTTTTGTTTTATACCAGTCTCCCCTCTTAAGAGCTCCCTTCAGACGCCAATCATGACGACCATAGAGGTTTGTGAAGATCCTGTCTTCATCCTTCAAGGGTGCATTCTGCAACACAAAGTTTTTCAAAATTCAAAGTCATAGGTATGTTGCAGCAATACCATTGATTTAAAATAGCATTATCTCTTTAAAAAGAAATTGGTTAACTCTAAGAACAGATGAGAGAGAATGACAGAAATTAGGAGAAACAATATTTAAAAAATCACAATCACAATTGAAGAAAATTTAACAAAAAATGGGGGGAAAGAAGGAAAGAAACTAGCTGAAGCAAAAAAATCTGTGAGTCAGAATAACCAACAAATTTGGAGATCTGAAAATTCAATATCTTACTTTTGTTTCTGTAGATTGAGAGCGGACTTGAAACTGGGCTGCAATACTTGAACCCAGAACTGATGTGAGCTGCTTGCAGCTAGGGAACAACCTGCTACTTGGTAAGGCTGCCATCAAAAGAAGATAGCTTCTCAAGGTGGCTTCCACCAAAAGCAGCTCACAAAATAAAGCAGGCTTATATACTTGTTAGGCAGCAATGAAAGCCAATGCTGACCTAGAACATAATTCTTCCTTATTAAAACAGCATTGAATAACAACTAAAAGAAAAGTAGGCCTATAGTAATGAGTTGAAGTGATAGGAGCAGGCTCCTCTGTCATATCAAAAAATAGAAAAATAGCAGGAAGATCAGGAGGGGCTCTAAATTCAATTGATTTCCCACAGAGCCAATTTTCAGACTTCACTGTCATTGCCAATTTCCCTTAACCCTATCGACGTCATCCTGAGTACATATTCATCATGCACCTTTGTGCTTCCCTGCAGGATAACGATTAAGGATGCTGCCAAAAGGGTTAAAGCAACTTGAATTACAGTGAAATAGTTATATCATCAGCATATATTTGCATGAGCTTAATTTAATGGACCTGGTTTTGAAAGCAAAATTATGCAAAGATTTAAATTTATTATGCCACTGATCAAATAAGCTTTAACATGCCAAATGTTTCCATATTTGAAAAGAGCATGTAAGTGGAAAAAATGTGAATTTCGCCATATTTGAAAACAGCCTTTTTGTGGAAAAATGCAAACGTTACCATATTTAAACAGCATGAACTTCAAACTTCATATATGGCAAAATTTGCATTTCTCCACTTACATCCTCTTATTTAATATGGAAATGCTCTGCATAAATTGTACTTTAAAAACTACAAAATGCTAACAATATAGCCTTTGCCAGGAAAAAATTGCATGGTCTAAGGGCCTCAGTATGGAAGCCAAGTAGGGCAAAATCTCATTGAAATTCTCTTTGAAAGACTTTTCATGAGGAGTGAAACTAGAGTTGAGACCCACATGATTTCAATTTTAAAAATAGCATATGGTTTACACCAAGGTTGGGGGGGGGGGGGGGGGGCCATTATATTGAAAATCCAGCTTACCACAGCTTGTCAAATGATATGCACATTGATTTCCCGAAAATATGCTATATGTGCATAAATTCTCCAAGAATGCATTAATGTTGATGACTGCCAGATACAATGCAACATGATAAGGTGCCAAGTGCAGGAGACTCTTTGCCTGTAACTGCACCTTGACTGTGGAATACCAACTGACCCACCCTCCCATCTAGACCCTCTTCCTCCCCATAACTACAGCTAACACAAATAACCATGGAAGACTCAATTTTGTACAGATACAATACCCAAGTTTAGCCTTCACTGCTGGGGATCTTTAATGTCCCATGCCCTGAAACAGGAGTGCTCTTCACTCAGGCATCTCCCTTTCCAAGCATACTAGAGCTTGCACTTGGAAGTGAACATTGGACTTGATTGGATTTGAACCTGGTTCTCCTGCCACAGGAGCCATACTTACTACGAACTGAGCCTCTACATTACCTTCCTCCAGTTTTAACCAGGAAACTTGACTACCCATGGATATGGAAAATGATGTACTGGATCATGTAAATGTCAGCAACCCTGACTTCATTAAAGACAGACTAAAAGAAGAAGTTCAAAAGTTTGATTTCTCCAAAGATGTTGGAATGAAATGGATCAATCCTCAGGCCCCTACTATTTTCACTCTTTATAATAATAAAAAAAACCTATCTAATTACAAAATGAGATACTTATTGCACAAAAAAAAAACAACTCTTTGCTGATGTTCAGTTGTCAGTTGAGATGGAATCTACTTTTGTCCGGTCATAGTGTGACCTATTGCAACTTCAACTAAACCCTATCAAGAACAAAACCCTCAGTTGATTGAACACATCAAGCTGATTCCTAGGGTCTACTTTATACCAACCCCTGTGAATCATGATCTGGATGACACCTCCAGTACCTGGACATTTAATCCTTTGACCAGTGGTTTTTATTTGGGCCTGGTGCTTGGGGATCAAAGTTTGAAAATGAGTATATTTTGGCTTGGCAGTCAAAGGGATAAAGACCACATTAACAAGAGCATAGCCAAAAACCACTTGAAGCTGCTATCCTCAGAGCCACCTACAACAGAAAGGCTTTAGTCCTCCTTTTTCTAAGTCTATATACACTCTTTTTGAATTGAATTAGTACCCCCTAGAGGAGTGCCTCCATTGATTGCAGGTAGTGAAATCTTACACAGGGGTGGTTATGTCTATCACCTTATGAAATGGAATGTCTAGAAATTTGTGCTTCACCATTCTCCACTATAGGGGGGTGGTATGAATTCAATCCAGAAAGAGTGTACACATTTTGAGTCTCCCATCTTGAGAAACTATGTCTCTGTTTGGAATCTTGCTGCTGTGAGGTAACTGGGACAGAGTAATACTCCTTGAACAGCAGCAAACAATTAATCTAGAGATCCATGGATTGGCTACCTTGACTCATGAACATGGCTCCAAATGTTCCACTTAACAACTTTTGTGAAAATAAATACTAGGCATCTTGATATAGAACCATCAGAAACAAAGTCACCAAAAACACTGTCAAAACATGTCACATTATTCAAAAAGTGATAGAAATCTGCTTCAATCAATTGCTACTACTCCCAGCAATAGCAACTACTTTTGCCACAGAAACACAGCTGACTGGAATGCCCTCCCCAAGGAATTAAAATCTGCCCCATGTGAAAATTACTTGAAGTCCTGCATGGATATCATCTGAAACCATAATATAGGGACCAACCATAGACAAATCTCACTCAACAGGTTACTGTGAAGCCTAATCATCACTGGAACTTACATGTGAACATGCCTAACTCAAGCACAGATAAAAAAGTCCAATATATAAAAATTGATTCCTGATTTGAATTACAAATGAGACAAGCTTTCTTGGTTCAAGAAAGGATGGCAATTACCAGTCTCCAGACTTTGGGATGCTTCATAATCCTATTAGAAAGCCTATTAGAAAGCTATGCCAGGAGAACTGACACTTTTTCCATAGTACAATAGATATTGGATGTGGCTCATCAGGAACATAAATTTATCAAGTGAGGTAACAGGCTAGTTCAGCCCATGTGTAAAAGGTCAATGGCTGAGCATCTTGTACAAAGGCAAGATGTCACAACAGGCATTAATGCCTGGATGGGCATGAGTAAACTCATACCAAAATCATTGCATATCATGTGGGGATAAAAACCAAAGAATTTACACATGGACATATTCTGAGGATTCTATCTCTCAACTTAAGGGTTGATTTTCAATAATTTACTGTAACCACCAAATGGGTCTACCATAGACGATAAGGTGTACAAATAAGGTATCTTATAAGGTGTGATAAGACTGACACATACATGCTCATCTGACCCAGCCAATGCCATTTTTAGAATCACCAACTTCCAATAATAAAAGTGCACATCTCAGGAGTTACATATAATACATCAGTTGCTGTCAGTCCAGAATTTACCAAGAGGGCATCAAAGAGCATACTTCAGGATTTGTCAAACCTGGTAGTCTAAATGCAATCCATACATACAGCTGCCTTTTTTTTCTTTTCTTTTTTTTTTCCTTTTTTACCAAGCAGCCAATTTTTAATAATTTAAGACAATGTTGATACTGGCTGCGCTAGTTGACAAGGTTTGAAGTCCTGGCTAGAACTATTTATAATTCAGCTATTCTTAGCCCCATTATATAAAGCCATCTGCGCTACTAGCAGGCATTGTTAGCTTAGAAGTTCCCTACAAAGAACATCACTTTGTGTGCCTAAAGACAGTGAATATTATCAAAGGCAGGGGCAATCGGTTTAATGCAATTGTCAGAGTGCAATATTTGAAGGAGACCTAACCAAAGTTTCTGCCTCAGTCACAAAGGTGTAAAATAACTATGTGCACATTCCACAACCGATGACCTCCCCTGATGCTAACCTGATATGGGGTGAATAACAAAGAATCTACAGCACAATGCTTTCGTAATGAGTTCAAACACCTCCATCAAGGGATTGTCGCTACTAGTCCTTCAACTCTAGGGATATATACTGAATATCAGCTCACATCATATGTAAGACTGGAGGAAAGGTTAGTTCCGCTGGCGTCTTGGCCTCCAACTCTGAATAGAAAACAATGGTTCGCGTTAATAGGATGAGTGAAGTCATCGCGAAAGCATTGTAAATCGAAGGGTGATGGTAAAACTTTAGCTACCACCTGTGTCCGCCGCCATTCGTGCCGACTGCGAAATTACGTCGTCTGCTAGCGAACTCGAGGATTATCCTTTATCCTTTTGACCTTCTGACAGTCCAACCTAGACAATGAACTTTCCAGAGTACGCATGGCAAACTACTGCCAAAAGGGATAATTCCATGCTGAACAGAACTCGAGTGTAAGGCGAAAGTTTTGGCTGATAAGTTGAAGCTCCAGTATCAGACTTAAGAAAAAATCAACCTCATTCAACATGGCGCCTTCTCTTAAGCGTTCTATTATGTTCGCAACACTGCAGCGCAGTTTTATTTTGCTATATCACGTAGGCGTACGGTTCGTTCACGTGAAGAATGAGTCATCTGATCATTGTATATCAGTGGTGAAACACGTGGGGATGTGCTAATGCAAATTCAGTTCAGTCGCTACCTTTGGTCCCTTGGCTTTCCATGCCACGACAGATGAGACATCTCGACGCTATGCCCAACGTCGGAGACAACTTTCAGCATTCATTTCTCTAGGCATGCAGAGTCTTCGCTTTAGACAAAAATCATTCATCCTCTTATAATGCAGTATGACAATTACTTATTACTCTTGGGACATGTGGACCACTTTGTAGGCTATCATCGGCAGTCCATCAATGTTTACATACAATACAGTGATTTCGAATCAATTTGTACTACGTTTAACATCGTGGTTAGTATTTATTTTGTACGTAAAGGATGTGATGTTAGGCTTTTGGATCCCATGTTAAACGTGGTTTGTATCAGGTTGTAAAGGTGAAATTTAGACATTTTCCAGAAAACAATTTATTGACAAATAACTCAACAACGACTAGAGTGCAGTCTTGCGTCAATGTATCTGTTGTAGGTTCACAATAAGCACTCATGCCCACAATGCCCACTGGTCACTCTACTTATACACCTACATAGAAAGTTCTAACATTTTCAAGATTTTTCTAGAAAAAATCGAAATGTCTAAATTTCACCTTTACAATCTGATATTTACTTACAATCAGTGCATGTAAGCTAAGGGCTCACTGGTGCTTCCTATCATCCGGCACTCCCTAATTAAAGTAATCGCAAACCGTGTTAGGATCCAATGCGCCAGTAGAATTGGTATGAAAATTGCAATATTCTTATAGTGTATGATTTCTTGTTGCCATCCCTTATGCATGAAATTCTGTAGTGTGCATAACAACTGGTGGTATGTTACCTATTTGCACCCACTATTGTCCAGCAGGTGTTGTACTGTCTTTGCTAGGTTAGGTCGGCCTGAGTTATAAGCATACGTTTTTATGCTCTGAGCAGTAAACTCAAATGATATATCTTCACTCTGCAGACTCTGCTCATTGATTCCATAATCTCTGTGATGTTAACTTACAGCTAATATGACCTCAAATTCTTAGTTTTATTCCATTTCTTGATTCTTTCCCTTGGATATCCTTAACTATGAACTGGCCAACAGTTGTGTGATACTTTTTTTCTTTCTTCTTGGATTAGGATATTCCCTTTAGTTACTTGTTTGGAGATACTGTGATTTGGCAAAATCTTGGTTTTTTTTAATATCTGGATCCATAGGCCAGCTCACATATCCTTAAGAGCAAAATATTTTTTTATCTAGTCCTATTTGGTTGTCCTTATTACTGCCACTGGGATTTCTGTTTGCATTGCTTTTTGTGACAATATCAGAGGAGCATATTACTGTTAATAAGATCTCAATATGCCTTCTCTCATTTGTCTGTGATGAAGTATCTTATTTTTAAATGACCATTTCTTGATTCTTTTTGAGTTTCATGAAAAAAGTTGGCAGTGCTAGGTTTATTTAAGGAGCATATTTTTGAATTCCTGATCACATGTTCAAGACAAAGAGTGTATTTTTGTGAGTCAACTCCATAAGATGGTGAGTTATATTGTTCTCATCTGGTAAAGATGTCCCACAATTCTGGGATGTTTGACAATTTTTAAAAATATTTATTCTGTTATATTTAGGCATCTTTCGAAGGTGAAGAGGAGGAGGTAGAAGGTGGTTATGGAAGCAGTTATGTAGTTGGAGGCTCTTTTCCCAAAGACTTTGGTTATGGTCCTGAAGATGGTCTGGATGGAGAACTCTCTGATGGGGTGCCCTCACAGAATAAACCTAGGATTTTGCTCATGGGTCTTCGAAGGTACCAGTATTCACATGTCAAGATATCTTCCAATCTTTTTCTCTTTATTCAGTTGACTCAACTCTACCTTCATCCCTGAACAGGAGTGGGAAATCCTCAATTCAAAAAGTTGTGTTTCACAAGATGTCACCAAATGAAACACTCTTCTTGGAGAGCACAAACAAAATAGTGAAGGAAGATGTCAGCAATTCCTCTTTTGTCCAGTTCCAGATCTGGGATTTCCCTGGCCAGATTGACTTTTTTGATCCAACATTTGATTCAGACATGATATTTGGGGGTTGTGGTGCTCTGGTTTTTGTCATTGATGCTCAGGTGAGTTGAGGATATCTGCAACTATCTCAGTATATTCCTTGATTAAACTTTGAAATAAAATTCTAAATTGGCATATTTTCCAGGATGACTATATGGAAGCTTTGAATAGACTTCATCAGACAGTCACTCGAGCATATAAAGTAAATCCTTCCATTCGTTTTGAAGTCTTCATACATAAAGTGGATGGGTTGTCAGATGATCACAAGATTGAGACCCAACGTGATATTCACCAGCGTGCCAATGATGATCTCTTGGATGCAGGTCTGTTCAGTTTGCACTGGTGTGATTTTCAATCTGCCTGATTAAAGAGCTGATTTGGCAAATAAAGCCCCCAATTCTTTTCAGGAATGGAGAGCATTAGCCTGAGCTTCTATTTGACATCCATTTATGACCACTCGATCTTTGAAGCCTTCAGTAAAGTGGTACAGAAGCTCATTCCACAGCTACCAACATTGGAGCACCTCCTGAACATATTTATATCAGTGAGCTCATTTTATCCACTCCATGAAGTGAACAGACATGCTGGTTGCACTGGAAATCCTAAACCCATGTGAAGACATAACCCTTGTCATTCAAATGTTGATTTTAAACATTTTGACCGTTTTGACCATTTTGACCGGCACTGGGACCATGCCTACCATGATATTTGTAACAGAGCATAATTGAGTCATTATCATTATCCTATGCCTAGAAATTATTAGTATGTGTAACACTTGTTTTATGCCCAAGGTGAAGGGGAAAGAAGCTGTTCTTAGACTCTTAGTCAAATGTAAAGAGTAGCCTGTGATGTTTCATCCGAGGAGGTAGAGAAGACTGATATTTGAATACACTCCAATTCTGCCTTCAGGAAATTGCATTAGCATGCATGTACATGGTCTTTGCCATGTCTAGTATTTCTTGGTTGCTTTGTTTCACACATGAGGAATTTGGTTTCCCTTCTTTTGTGTATGATGAGGAACCCCCGAGGGTGTATGTAACCTATACTTTGTACTTGGAAAGTAAGCTCATTATTTTTGTTAACAGTTGGGTGACCTCCATACCCCTTGATAATTTCAATTATTATGAGATGAGGAGATAGGCAATTCATGTTCAGTTATGGGGGAGTAAGTCCCAGGGATGTTCTAAGGTACTCACCTATCTTTGACATTTTGTTGAGTTTCACCCACTTCTGACCTTAAAAAAAAAAATAAAAATAAAATATATATACACATATATATGAGGTCTGAAAATAAAGTAATGAGACTGATTCTGTAAAGGAAAAATTTTTATCACTAACATTTAGTGGATGTGGTCACCTCCAAAGTACTCTCCTTCTGACTCTATACACACATCCCAACATCTTTGCCATGCCTGGAAACATTGCTGGAAATCATCTTCTGAAAGTCCTATTGATTTATTGTCAGACCTTGTATTATTTATATATTCCCAAAAATGAGCATTTAAAATTTATTGCAAAAACATCATGTGCTTCTAGGTACCATTGAGGATCCTACTGTTACTCCATTTCTAGGACAATAAAACTGCAATTTAGGTTGTCTTGTTTTTGTCAAGGGCCTTGGAAAACTTACTCCTGGTTATTATGTAATGGATGAAGTTGTTGGTTTCTTTAGAGAAGATGGAACTTGCCTGAAGGGATTGAGGGCTAATAAGTTCTGTTCTCTTGAACTTGTGTCAAAGTGGGCAATTTATCAAGAATTAACAGTAGGGACTCAATTTTATTACCTGCTCATGTCTTACCTTGAGAACAATGGCATTTCCTCTTCCCCCCCCCCCCATATGTATGGTGTTCTTTCTGAAGAAATGTGATATTAATGAAAACCAAGAATCTATACACCAATGGACTGGAGTGACCTGCAGTCTGCAAAAGCAAAAGAATCTTGAGGCTTAGAATTTGTCAGAAACCAAGCCAATGTAATTTTAGTTGAAATAGAAGTAAGGTTGTCTCCTTACATCAAACTCAGGATTAAGATGAGGTTAAGTACAGTTTTAGAGAGGGAAGATAATCCATACATAGTAGGGCTTGTAAGACCTTGTCAATAAATATTTGCTGGGGTAGGGGAGGGTGCATCTGGTTTCAGTCCTCACTCATGGTGTCATAATGAAAAGAATAAGATGGGAGATGTAAACACTTGATTAAAATGTGGCTGTATTCAATCCTGTTGGTCTCTGCTAGTGTGGAGTGACTCTACTACCTCTGTGATCTCTGATTCATTGTTTCTCCATGTTTCCATTTTTACAGAATTCAGGCATTGAAAAGGCCTTCCTCTTTGATGTGGTTTCCAAGATCTACATAGCAACTGACTCATCTCCAGTTGACATGCAAAGCTATGAACTCTGTTGTGACATGATTGATGTTGTCATCGATGTGTCCTGCATCTATGGGTGGGATATACAAGCTTTTTTCTTCATCTCTCTTTCAAAAGCATCAGGTTCACTAAATTTGTCTTGTGCATTGTAGCATTGCAGAGGAGGGGGAGTCCTCAGCATTTGACAACCAAAGCTCAAGCATCATTCATCTCAACAATGGAACAGTCCTCTATCTAAGAGAGGTGAACCGTTTCCTGGCTCTTGTTTGTATTCTACGTGAAGACTCCTTTGATCGACAAGGTATGTAGGGTGTATCACAAAAGTCTGAAGAATTAATTATGTTGCATTTTCTAATGAAATTCATTTCTTGTCCAGGTCTTATAGACTACAACTTCCTATGCTTCCGAAATGCAATCCAGAAGGTGTTTGAAGTGAAGTGTCAAAGTGTGGGGATTCCTCGCATCCTTATGGACCCTCCCTCGTCCTTGATACAGAGCAATGGGTGATTCAACACCATGTTCCTAGATCAAGTAAAGTCTCCTTCACACCACCTGTGCCATGAGACACTGTTGAAATGAATTATGTATTGTGATCACATGAATATTTCCTGTGCATTACTGCCTCACATGTCAGTGTCCTTGCATTATTATCTGTGATGACAACTTTTGAGCTTGGACATTGTGCACCAAATGTATTAGGAGCCATGTTTTTTGCAGTGTCCTGCTCCCATGATGATTCAACTGTCATATGATTGCTAAGTTAAGTCTACTTGGAAGAGCAAGTCCATAAATTATGAGAGAATTCTTAGACTTTCTCAGAAAGATCCCAGTTATTAGGAGTCCTGCTACTTAGGTGCTTTGTCTACACTCCAAGCATTTAGAATCACAGAAATTCATTCTATTTCTGCAGACTTCTAAAGGATTTTTATGCAATCATCCTCACTGCCTCCTCCTATGCTGGCCATGTTTGTGCATGAATAATGAAGTGCTCACAGGATGTCAAACATGCTTTGTATTGTATTCTTAGGTAATACTGAAGTCATAGTCCCCCCCCCCCCCCACTCATAGCCATCAGATAATGTTATGTTTTCAGTTGGAAGTATTTTTTTATCCTTTAAAGCAGAAGTGTCATATGTCAAAGTATTGATGGCTTGAAAATTGTTTTGAAAATCAGGATGTGCTCCAGTTCTATAAAATTAATTTCCAGTAATTATCTGCAGACTGTTTACCATTTTTCAAGCACAGTGCACATTCTATTTTAAAAAAAAAAGGGGCCTATTGCATGGGCTTATTCCTCATGAAGCCAAGTGCTTGGCAAGAGTATGCTGAAGCATGGAAAATTTCCTCCTGTGGCTTCCCATGTACTGAAGTAGCTGCATAATTTCAAGTGCTACAGTATATTTTAAATTTGTAATAGACTTTTGTGTGATTGACTCTCGGTCTGTGCCAGACAAAAATTTGGGTGCTTTGCTCATTTCATTGTAGGATGTGAAAGGTGGGTCAAATATAGGGGGAAACAAGATGACCTCCAGACTGCCACTCATCATCCTCGTGTCCTGCAGTATGTGGCCTTGTCCCTCATCAAATGTCCCAGCTCACAGGAGTGCTTTCCTGAGAAATGAATATAAGTTGAGTCTCTCGTGCAGGTGTGCTCATCTTCAGCACATATGAGGTGGAGACAAAGAAAGGGAGCAAAGGAATCGGCAAGATTGTAGGGGCTGCTGTTGCTGGAGGAGCCCTTGCCAAAGGACATCATGGGCATCGAGGATGTGAGTTCACTCCTCCTGATGGTTCTTTTGGAACTATTCCCATAACCATCAATTGCAACTGTACACTATTTCAGGATGGGGTTTTCATGCCCTCAACTTGGAATGCATTATTTGCTATGACACTCCCACTCCCACTCAGATTGTTGAATGCAGTCATACTAACATTTCCATTATTGAAATGCATGATAGACCTAAGTGTCATATGTCACTTTGAGTGACAAGCACCTCTCCACCTCTTAGCTAAAACTTCAAATTATCATTTCTAGATGTTACTAGAGCTGAATTGATGGCAGCATCAGGTCTGTGTTAAAGGTCTGGAGTTTTGATCTAAAAACCCAGTATGTAAAGGTTTGTTCAATATTCAGCTGAATGATGTATCATAATTTTTGGCAAAATTGATAATTGATTAATGAATTAGCCAAAAAGGATCAAAACAGCTAGTGCATTGGCCATTCCCCACAGTGCATGCAAAAAAGCTCCACTGTAGGAAATTCTCATTAATTTAAGTTCCTGCATCACATCCCTAAGTTGGATTTGTGTGCATCTTTTATACTGCAATGCAAAAGTGCATATAAATTATGCTAATAAAAAGCACTGCTCTCCCTGCTGCACTTGCAGTAAATTCTGCAAATGCAGACAAAGGAATAGTTGATATGACAATAAAACCAATTCATAATCTCTCATATGTTGGTACCGTCCTATATAGAAATAGCATATCTTGAAAATTTGTTGCTTTCAGATTTCTTTGAAGTGATCATATTTCTTTTTCTGCTTATGTACAAGGTGGTGCCGGAATCCTGCATACTTTGCAGTTAAACCCTATCTGCTGCTATCTTTCAAGAAATCAAAATAAGAGTTCACTTATTTGTAGTAAGAAATGAAGTTCAAACAAAGAAAAGGCAATGATAATTTGTTATTTGGAAGGGATGCATTTAGGCTGCTTTAAAGTGCATAATTATGGAAGATAAGCCTATCTTCCTTGGTGGGGGCTTAAAATGTCATAAATTTCAGGACTTGTTCTCTGCTTCATTTGCACTTGATTATCTATCCATACCAAATGGAAGTCACAGCTTCAAGTTTTTCCCAATTTTTTCCATTTTCCATTTTTGGATCCCATGGAACCCTTTAGTCTACAAGGCAGCTGTGAAGAGGGATGGGTCTTTGAGGCATATCCCTATTCATGCAGAGCTTGAATGTCATGGGAGAATCATGCTTAAGCAAGGACATGCAGTTCTTATTAAAGGGGGCCAGAAGCTCTTTGTGTTTTTATGATGGAGCTTTGTTATAATTGTCTCATAAACAAATACCACCTCCTGGAAAAGTCTTAGAAGATGAGTCCTGAAGCTGAATGAAACTCATTCATGAATGAAGGAATACTTTTTCTTCCCATCTGATATGGCAAGACATGATTCCTGTCTTGGAACAGGTGGGTTAAGACCTGAGGTCAACCATAATGGATTGCTGAAGAGTTCTCCCTGATCTTGACTGGTCAATAATAATAATGTATTTCATAGCTGTAACACTTCTAGCATCAGGATGCAAAAGGAATGCAGTGTCAAAAACATGAACTGCTTGGTACTAATGTTGGAGATGGAGGCTTTTTAAGGCTTAATAGGGATGAGATGAGCATGATACTGCATATGTCTTTTTTGTGGGAAGTTGGTGGAGGTGGTGGGATGTCCTTTTTCCGACCATGGATCCTCTTTTCCGTGCTTGGAGGCGGCTTCTCCTTTCTGGTTCTCATCTTTCTCTTCTTCTATTGCAAGCGTCTCAAAGCTTCCCAACAGCTCAGCCGCATATAAGCCATATAAGCCGCATCATCTTCCTCCATGACATCGTATGCCTCCATGCCTGCAGTCTTTTGCATTTCATCATGCATTCATCCCAGATCTTTTTTTCCTTAGATTTTGTTGCTGTGTTTTGTTGTTTTTATTTTTAGAGCAAGCAGGTAGCATTTGTGTCTGGCTTCCACTGTTATAAGCTTTGCTTTCTTCTGTTTTATTCTCTCCCTTGTGTCATGCCTCCTGCTTGATCATGAGTACTTAGAAGTATTCTAGAATTGTGCTGAGGTAGTTTAGACCTTGCAGCACTCCAGGGACCGATGGTCCTCAAAGGAAAGATGAGTGACAGTGAAGCATGATGAAAATTGTATCACCGGGTAGTCTAGACCCAGGAACAGGTCTGGTTGGGAAGATAGCCTTGTAGGAGAAAACAAGTCCATTGCTTTCAACTTCCCTCATACATTATTCATTGTGCATCCTATCTAGTTTTTATGTCATGGTGGCCACCATTCTCTTTTCCTCTCTCCACTTGGCTACTTTTGTTCTGTTCTCATCTGTTGTCTGACCATCCTTAACATGTATCCAGGATCAAAGCATGGATCCAGGATTGGGTATCTTGATCGTGAGTTTTTTCATGGTCTGTACTTCCTGTGTAGAGTGGCCATGTTTGTATTTGATTTTTATGCATTTACAGGGTGTGTAAAAGAAAAGACCAATGGCTTTTAACTTCTATGTCTCTGCCCCCACTGCAGCCATTTTCATGAAACTTGCACTTTGCATAAATGTGTTCCTTGGGCCAAGGCAGACTATTAGGAATTGTTCAGAAGTTAGATATTGGAATTGGACAAGAGTTTGTGCTGGTAGTGGAGTGGGAGAAACACTTTTGTGATGTGTTTGTATGTCATCCAGGCCACTTAAAACTTCTCTTCCCTTCTTTGGCTTGGTCTTTCCTTTCAGGTGATTTTGATAAGCTGCTTTCCAATTAACAACTGATGAGTAAGTATATATTAACCCTCATCCGGGCAAGCGTTTTTACAACCTATTCCGGGCAAGGTGAGTCTGTCAGACTCGTGTAAAATAAGGCTGTAAGGTGTAATAACAGTACTGTAACTAAAATAATACAGACAATTTATTCAATGGTCCTGATAGTTTAAAAAAATAATGACAGTAATAGACCGAAATATGTCGTAGTGAGTCCAGCGGACTCACCTTGCCTGGATTAGGGTTAATAGAGATTCCTCAAAGCCCATATACCTTGGTTCATGTTGGAGGAGACAGGCTAGTGTTGCTCTGAACGAACTAAGTTCCCCACTGTATTTTCAGTTTCCAATTTTTTTTAATTTAAATAATTGTTCATTGCCTGGCCTAGATGAAATCAATCCAGATTAAATTTTACTGGTTTGTTGGGAACAAATAAATCTATGCTTAGTGAGTTTTGTGTAGCTCCAGTGAGATCAGAGACACATAGGTTAAATGCTGGTGTTACCTTTTGCCATACCTTGTATATTCTCTCTTCATTCCCAGTACAGGTCAACATCAGGTCTGTCTGCCTTTCCTATGGCTGACCATGCCCCTCTAAAGTAACTCAAATTAATTCCTCATATGATGTGGTTTTAGTTGCTAAAGATATGGCCTTTCACTAGATTATTCATGATATATGTAGAGATGTATGAAATATTGTAACTGCATGGGGTGTTCTCTTCAGACTTTAGCTACATAAAACGAAAGAGTCCCTTCAGATGTAGGTATGAAAGCAGTGAGTGTAGAAAGTTAGACATGTAGTGATTTATACTTGGCTTCATTTGGTCTTCTGAAATTTTTCCCTTGATTCAGCAAGCTGTAGTAAAATGTCTCAACATTCTTTGGTAACAAATGGCTATTGAGACAAAAAGAAGTGCTATTATTAGGAAAAGTCTGACCAATGCAGTCTGTACGATGCCATTCAGAGTAGGCCTTATGAACTGAAATTCTATTCTGCCTTGTTCAGAAAGAGTGCTTTAAAGGAATGCATTTGGCTGGACAGGTATTTATGGATATGTTGCATTTATTTATTTTATTTATTTGCTGTTTCTTCTATGACACTGACTAGCAGCAAGCAGGAGTACTGGAATCAGTGCTGCTGGAATCATCCTGATCATCCTGAGTGTATGTCTTGGAGGATTCCTCCTCTACACCTTCCTCTACTATTTATTTGAGATCCGACCATTCAAGAAGCAGAAGCAAGGTTTCAACCAGGATGAGAATAGCAATGTGAAGCAGCCCAATGGAGACATCAAGAGTCCTGAAGACATCCCACTGATGGCGAATGAGGAGCAGGTGGTGGATATATCAGGAGAGGAGTCAGTGGCTTCACATGGTTCAACCAGCTACAGTGACACCTCCTCCAACAAGTCTCTCCATCTGAATTGTGAAGAGAGCCAGCCAAGCAGCCTTTACCCTAACATAAAGAATGGGTATTTTTCATCACTTGACATGCCTGATACCCCCAACATGGAAACCCAACCCCTGAGCATGTCAGCAGACATGGGGATGGAAAAAGAGAAAACAGATGAAAAAATAATATTAGATTGGCTAGAAGTGCCATCACAAGGAGAACCCCAAGATATGAAGGAAGAGGAAGGTCAGGAGAGTGTAAAATTTCAATCAGAGCCCCAGAATAGTTCCATGAGGGACCAAGATGAGGAGTTCTTGATATCCACTCTCACAGCTTCTCTACTGAGCCCCCTTGAAGAGTTGACTGACAAGTCCCATGATAGCATATATATTAAGCAGCAAGAAATGGAGAATGAAGGGAAGGATTTGGATCTGGATTTAAAAGCTGATTCCCTACCTACTGGGGAACAGCAGTTGGGCTGGAATGCCCCATCAGAGTCAAATTTTCAGGCAGAAGAGCTTGCAAAAGATGAACTCACTGAAGAAAAGGTTCAAGAGGGGGATTCCCTGATGTCCACTCCAACATTTATGGCAACTTCTCCACAGAGTCCCCTTGAAGAGTTGGCAGACAAGTCCCATGATAGCACATTTATTAAGCAGCAAGAAATGGAGAATTTGGGGAAGGATTTTGATCTGGATTTAAAAGCTGATTCCCTACCTACTGGGGAACAGCAGTTGGCCTGGAATGCCCCATCAAAGTCAAATTTTCAGGCAGAAGAGCTTGCAATAGATAACCTCACTGAAGGAAAGATTCAAGAAGATACCTCACATGATGAGAAGCCCTTGGAAGAGGGAAGCAATGAAGTTCTTGACAATAACCCTTCAGAAAACCATATATTGGAGGGAGGAGCTGAAGGTTCTTCTGTGAGACTTGATGTAGAGGAAGGAACAAAGGAGGTAGTTGCCCCATCAATACCAGCAGATTGCACAGAAGCCATTGTGGGTTCAGGACTCCATCATGAGCCAGGCCAGATAGGAGAAGACCTGGAGGTAGGACAGGTGCAAGAAACCCAGGCCACTAGTGGAGAGGAGCAGTTGCCGTGGACGGGTGAGGGTGAAGGCCCCGGTTATGACCCCGACAACAGTCCCCATGACAAGTCTTCAGATTCGTCCGATGACTATGAGGAATTCCACCGCTCAGACACGCTGAAATTGGAAAAGAAGAATGGCAAATCCTGATTCTCGTCCTTCTGTAACCAATATCCATTAGACATATCAGATTCTTGCATACTCAGTCAGCATTCTTTCACTGGAGCTTCTGCAGTTTCTCTCCTGAAACATATTGTATATACCAGTATTTCTGGCTGAATCGAATTCAGTGGACACAGAGTGTTTGTTCAAAAGCATGTGCCATTCTAAGATTCTATTCTCAGCTTACGCCCATGTGAGTGGGCATGGAATTGTGTTATCCCAGATCTAGAGGCATTTTACTTCAGTTCATGTTGGATGTTGCTGAATCGTGAACAGCACCTTTTTGATGTGTTGCTTGTAAACTTGATCTCCTGGAAATTTAGTGATGGTGGAGGTCACCAGGCTGCTTTTTGCATGTGAATTCACATGCAATGAACTTATTACCTGAATGACAAAAGTGTTTTATATTTGAGATTTTACCTGTTATCCTGTACGTAGAAATCCATAGATTGCAGTGCAGAGAGGGTGACATTGCTTGATTCGAACAGAAACATATTGTTTCTGGTCGATTATGTATTTACAGGGTTTTCCTACTTACCATCTTGTGTTCTTGGGTGTTTTTACGAGGAACCAATGTGAACACGTTGACGTATTCACGTGGAAATGGGAATGCTGCAATGCAATTCTTCCTGTACAATACTTCAGCATGTATTGCTAAATGTTGCATCTGCATGAGTATGCAGAAACCGTTGTGGTTTCCAGTGTCTTTTATCGTCTAGGCTTTTCTGCTCAATAAAATAAAAAAGAGAAGCTCTCAGAGTAGTCTTTCTGCTTTCCATGGCACCGAGGAAGAATCGGTCCTGCTCTCGTGTTGAACCCAGTCGAAAGGTCACATCCCCTTGGGGTAAAATGCTCGAGGCAAGGCTCATCGGTGGATGGAGGATATTTGATGCTACAGTGCAATTCCATCAACTCTTTTTAACCTTTATAGACCGAAAGGTAAGTATACTTACTGCTAGATGTACTGCCAGACCGCCTAATGGAATTTTTTTGTAAATATGTTTTTTATTTCATCATTTTACCATCAATAGTTTATGAAGAATTAAATTTTCCCCGAAAGCTTGCGCGTGTTTGCACTTCACATTGAAATACCCACAGTTAAATACCGGCCGTGAAGCAACACGGACATTTAAATGCCGTACGATAAAGTTTAAGCAAGTTTTCGAGTTCTTTGGTTTGGTGACACCTGCCCTTGCTCTTCGGCAAATTCCATCTGTCGACTCGTAGGAGCTTTAAAGGATTTTAAATTGATTTTTTTTAATGTCTTCTGCCACGAATAAGTACGTGCAGAAGAAAAAAAACAGGCGCGAATGTAATCGCCTACTGGAGCCGGCAACACGAGACGGGTTGCACGAGGACAAGCGATTCAAAGGGAAACGTGGAGCACCTGCTTCTGTACCTGATCGAGGAAAAAGCGTAATATGGGAAGTTGCGACATGCAGGGCCGTTTCTAGGGGCGGGCGATCGCCCGGGGCGCAAGCGGGTTAAAGGGGGATGGGGGGGGCGCCGTTGGAACTTCTTGCCCTGAGCGCCAACACGCCTAGAAACGGCCCTGGCGTTGCATGCCACGGGATCGGAGGATCCGTCCGAGCAGGGACATGCCCTTCATGCCACCGATGTCGAAGTCAAGGATCCTGCAGCAGCAAACGAACGGAATTCCCAGATCTGGAGGGTCTGAGAGGACCTACCCTTCATCTCGATCGGCAAGGTTTTCTCTCCTTTTTTGCACTCGTAATTGATCTTGAGGGTGGACTCCTGCCGGTAAACGAGGGAAGCACGTCATTTAGTAGTTTCTCAGGTTTCTCGACCTTCCGGTCTTAGTAGAATTCAAACAGCCCAAATTAATGTCTACTCTCAGGATGAAAAAAAAAAACTTTTAAATGAATTTCAACAAATAATAAATATAATAAAATAATAACCAATTCTTAAAAGTAATCCGTAATATTGCACGATATTGATGGTACGAATTCATCTGCAAATTGGTCTAATTTTTCTCGCAATTAACTGAAGGATGAATCATTCTGTCGATCTTTAGAGTTTGTTTTAAATGTGTGAATATTTTCGTCTACTTGGGAGATGGAATGAAGTGACTCTGAAGGCGCTGGACCGCCTGCTTTCAGTGCTGTGACGAAGAATTTGGTAAAATTTTAAATCTCTCCTGCCCTGTGAATAGTGCATATTTTGCGAAAACGTGATTAAGAGCCGAAGGACCAGGAAGAGTTCGGGTGTTCGTTCCGCGTATGAAAATACTCGTTCATGCGGATAAGGAACACGAATAGCGTCAGTGCGCGAGTATTGGAGAAGTTCTAGGTTTTTTCGACAATGCTGAAACTTTTCATGATTCCGTGAAAATAAATATTATTCGAAACTCTTACTTGGTAAATAATTTTATGTTACAAGGAAAACTATTTAGATAGTTAAATTTTTACAAATATACAGAACTAAAATGCTTTTTAAAACAAAAATAGAACATACTGTTTCCATTTAACATCTGCAAAATTTAAATGCTAAATATGTATTTCATAGCCGATTATCAAGCTCCAGCCAGTGTGTGCGAACTCTATGCATCAGTCTCCCACAGCGGGAAAGCGAAACTGAACCGAGATCTCGTCTGACTGCGTACGGAACGAGGTAAGCATGCCGACGTGGGTCGTCTCGGCTGCCACCCGTCGCGTGCGGATCATCGCTAACGTGCGCTCACGTGCTTGTGTCGAGGTGAAACACGAAATGACATTTTGGGACGCCCGCGAATGGAAAGGCGGGGAAGAGAGTCCACCTTGGCGAAAGTGGAAGCAGCACTCACGGGGTGCCACTCTCGTAAACGAGTCCAGAACCGTGGAGCCCTCCGCGACGCACACCCGCTGCGGGTTCGTTCTTGAGTGCAGCCCGTATCCCCCGCGATGGACGCGGGACGTCGTCGGTCGTGGCCCGTGCAGTCCTCTCCCGGAGGACGAGGAGGTGCAAGGTCGCTCTATGACGAGTGAGTTGGCTTTTTCGTCTTCTCGTTCGCGCGAAGTTGCTCTAGGATAGGGAGTAGGATGCCGAACGTGGAAGACATTCACTGAAGCTCTAGAGTCTATAGTGATGAGCTTCGGGATGCAAAAACGGGAATTGAAACGCGGAAGAGAACTTTCGCTTTCTTGACACTAGTCTCAAGCGGTCTCGACCGGTTTCTCGGTCGGTTTCCTGTAGTTTGATCATTGCTATGCTTTGAAACAAAAATAAATTGAATTAGGCAATCAGACAGTCTTCCATCTTTCGCCATTTTCTTCGTTTACTTTACTACCTCAAACGAGAGGCATCATCGCTGACGAGGGTTATAAAAGTAAATGCCGTGAAAATGGAGTTGTAAACAGCTTGCATGCGGTTTTTCTCGGTGCCACTTAGAGATGCGTCCTCCCTTCGCGACCCTCCACTTCGCGGAGTCGGGAAAGATCCCGACAGGGTATTGAAGATTCTAGAAAGAGCAATAAAAGTGATAGCTTCGTTGTAACGATTGTACTCATAGAGAACCCCGATAAGAAAACCTGAACAGAAGCTGAATTCTTAACTCGGTCACGTCATTCCAGGGAGAGGGAGGGGGGGGGGGGGAAGGAGGAGAACAAATGAAGCCGAGCTCCTCCAAACTGGTTCTGGAGGACCCAATGCCCCTTTCCTTCCTTCCGACTTAGCACTGCTCTCTCGTCGTCTGCTTATTTTTTCTTTCTGCCACCCTATGGCACTGCTACGTTTAACTCTCCTTTCCAACTGGCGCCCAACCTGCCCAATATCTTGTATTGACATTTTTACCACTACCGCAAAGAAGGAAACCAAGAACGGTATTCAGACTGAAAGGGGTCGAAAAGAAAACTCAGAGTTCACTCATCTCAAGCTCTATATTTTATTTATTTATTTGTAATATATTGTCCATAAAGTAATGCAGATTTTCAAGGCTTCAGGGTACCTCATGCAGTCGCAGTTTACACAGAGAAAATGAACTTCTAACTAATTACTGAACTACTCCGTAGGCTATGGAATGAGAATCCTGAATCTTTTCTTATTCCACCACAAATAAAAAAAGAACACTCCAGATCGACATTAAAAAAAAACCGTTAAGAGTTGGTTTCACATGTAAACTTAGGGAATCGGGGGAATCACAGAGATCCAAACACAGAAACGAGCATGAGCCAAGGCTACATCACAGCGTGGAAGGGAGGGAGGGAGGGAACGACGCCGTTTCCTTTATTGTTGCCTTCGTTCGCGGTTCGGATTCAGCCTTTCGACGACCATGGAGCCAGCCACCACGTCGTACAGCGTCCTGTTGTGCTGGAGGAAAAACATAGAGAAGGTGAGGGGGAAGATGAAAGCCAGGCTCAGGTTCTTGAGGATGGCACGCAGTAGGGCGCGACCGAATCCCAGATCCCCTCCCGGATACACCACCGCCCGATCCTCCGCTGAGGACGAGACCATGGAAATGTTCATGCACGAGGTGGTGCGAATAGACGTTTGCTCACCAATCATATCCAGTGCCAATAAGTGAAACGAAACCATGTGGAAGAGCAAATATTTCTCATATCGATCGATTGATTGTTGATTTTACTCCGTTTGCAGATACAGGTAGCATGAATGTTTCAAGTCCTGGTCAAACTGCAGCTCTTCATAGGCTTACTGACTACGACACAAAAATGTGACAGTGGTCGATCAATAATTGCCTTTCCGTCGATGAATCAAAGACCATACCTTTCATCACCAACCTCAAGAACTTCAGTCCCTGTTAATTTCAGTCTGTACCAAAATATCGCTACATTTCTCTGAGAATGAGGCACATGTATGCCATGTTGAATCAGTATATGGAAATGCTATTCAGGATGGAATCACCTACCACCTGAGATTGGAAATATTCAGTTAGCAGTAAACAGCTATAAACTTCAATCCAGTTCTCATTAATATAAAAATTAAAGCAACTTTTGTTGACAAACTGCTTATCAACTCACAAAGAGATGAGAAAAGTACTTCTGGAAGAGGGGCACTCACCAGTGGGTGCAACCCATTCGCATGATACGACCCGCAGTCCCATCAGCATTTTTCCTGGAGTTGCTCCACCGGAGATGCCATCAGTTCCTCTCTGGGTGCAAAACGCCTTTAAAAAAAAGAAAACACCAAGATAGGAATTCAATTGCAACAGGAGAAAAACTTTTCCTGCTGTGTGAAAAGAATTCATTTATGGTGGAGTCTTCATATCAAAAGCCAATTGAATTTGCATGGTAGTCATTGCCTGAGAAAAGTGTAGCCTCATCATACAAAGCCAACTTCACCTCTTTCCACTCAAGGGAAGACTTACAAAATGAGTTATGCTACTGTGGGAAGATTGATCAGGACACAGAAGATTGCACTCTTCTGAGTTTAATGGCCCTTGTTATGGATACATGCAGACATGGGACAGGGGTGAGGGGTTCAGTATGGTCATGAAACAAGCCTAAATTGTAATCCAAGGAGTAAAACACTCACCTCGTAGAAACAGACGGCAACTCGATGAATGAGCTCGAGAAGCAACACCTCTGACGTCACTTCTAAGGCTGTGTCCATATTCAGCTTGAAAAGGGATGTGTCCAACCCACTGAAGTTATACTTCTCCACATCATCTCTACATGTATACCACACAAAAATTGATTTTGGACTCATTCCTAAAGCAACTGCACTACAAGACTGAGTAACGGAGGACATACACAAAGTCAAAGTGATCCACAGCTAAGTAGGTGATAAGGAACTTGATGACAAGTAGGCAAAAGAAGTCGAAGACTTCAGCCAAGAATCGTCGCAACATGGAAGGGACTCCATACTCAATGCCTGCTTCACAAACACCCAGACAATCACAGAAAGTGCCACAGAATATGCTTTACTATACGCGATGTTGCGAGACGGCATGATTCCGGCGTCCAGAGAAGATGAGACCGACCCCTACGTGGGAGTGACTGAGGTGAGCTGTTGTCTGAAGTTTCTGGGGTACCCTGTGCAGAGGTATCTGAAGCTCTTGCTGGAATGCTAGCACCTGCCTCACTGGCTCCTTCACTTGGTCTCCAGTCCCTCTGATGATTCATGAAAAAAAAACACAAATCACCCAACTTCCTTCAAGTGTATGAAGCCAGACAAGATCAGAAGGGGCTCACAAATGTCGCCTGGCCAGTCCTGCTGAGCTCCTCTTGCTCCAAGAAATAATATGGGAGAAGCGTTTGAAAACACTGCCAGTGGTAGACATCAGCAAGCCACTGCCTGACCAAGGATGCATATTCGTCTGCTGTCATCACTCGATGCTCTGCATCCCTCTTCTCCTCTATAACTGGTTCTATTCCATTCTCCATTATTCTGTAACTCTGTTTATTGTCCTCTTCAGTTTCATGTATTGTAAAAACTGATAATGAGTGTGAACTGCAGATTTCTATTTTGAAAAATTGCATACAATGAGTATTAAATTCTAGGACCTAAACAAAAACCAGGCAATTGGTTTCTTACAGAGAAAAAACAATGGGAGGGACATGACAATAAAAATTCACAACAGTTTTGATTAAATTAAACATCTCTTGAGAGCCACTGACCTTTACCACCTTCACTCATTGACTTCCCTTAGATACTATAACTGTAGTAGTGCCAAGTTAGGCAAGTGAAGTTTCTCATACAACTTGAAAGTGCATTCCTCTGGTCCCCCACAACAGAGGGAAACTGCCAAGAATCTTGGCAGCCAAGGTATATATGAAAACACTGAAAGAACAATCCATATTGGAACATACTGAGAGTATGGAACTTTATTGCTCAAAATGGAAGACAAAGCAATCTTCTAAAAAGAAATCACGGAAAAGTTGAGCGCAGTACTGTTATTTCTATCTTGGCAGCAAGAAAACATAAGTGTAAGCACAGTGTAAGAATAAAAATTAAGTGCAAGGATAAGATTTCAGTAAAAGCAACAGCAAACTCATACCCTGTTGAAAAGATCACGGCCTCTCTGTTTGTCATGCAGGTTCTGTTGCCAAAGATTAACACAAAAGTTTTCGCCAAGGCTTAAGCACTGTTCATTTGTGACAAGGAGAATGAGCTACATCATATACAGTTGATGCTCCATATAACAAAACTCTATATATTGAAAATTTTCTTTACTACGAATTTTATTCCGGTTTCTGGCTGTTTGCCCATCCACATGCATGTTAAAATTAAAATGAATGTTAAAACGAATTGTTCTGTTTTACAAACTCGTTTTTTCATCCAAAGGAACAAAACTGTTCCGCATTACAAAGTTTTAATCTGTAGCTACTTTCTCTCGTGTATTCCTGGAAAAGTTAATCTCATTAAATTTAGCATGTTCCACCCCCTTTGAGGGTGGCCATGGGAAGAAAGGGAGACTTGTCAGTTATTCTTAATCCTTTCAGTGAGTAAGATGGGGAAACAAAATGCTCACTCCTTGGAGGAGAAATGGAAAGTTCATCCTTGCTGTTCACAAGGGTGGAAAGAAGAAGGACATCGCGATAAGGATCAGGGTCAGGTAGAGTCCAAAATTCCACTTGGTCAGGTGATAGAAGCTTTCAACTATCTTCGGTCAGAGGCCAAATGTTGAGCCTGAAACTTTACAAGCATTGAGTGCTCTGCAGACCACAGCTCAAAGTATTGTCCAGGATGGAGTGCAGCAGACAACTATTTGGGATTTTGTTTCATGAATTGAGAGCTTTGCACACTCATCCAATTTTTATTACACATAATTTAGGTACACATTTAGATAGTACATACATTACTCTTGAGAGCTAGATTTTTAGCAATATTGCATACGTTTAGACCTTTGCACTTATTTTATGAATGGATGACTTGTTTTTTCTTTTACACTAAGTGACATTTTGAAGTGATATTGATGTAAGTTTAACAGACCTCTATTTTTCTGTGAAATGAGGGAAATTCCCTATAATGAATTTTCCAACAAATTTTTTTCAGCCCATCCCTATGAGTTCATTATATGGAGCATTGACTGTAGATACATTGAGAAATTTCCAGAGCATAAAAGTTTAAGGATAATTACATCAAAAAGGAAGCCAGCAAAATGATAAAAAAAAAAACAAAAGTATTTGGAATCTAGAGAAAAAATGAAACATGTCACTAGAGTACAATAACTCCATTGACAATGAGGACTTTTTACAGTCCAAGTGAAGACTTAGAATTCATGCATGCAGCAGCAGATGCAGGAAAAGAACCTTGCATGCAATGCTAAGTGCTGAAGAAATGAAACTTGGTAACAGTTTCCCTTATGTAAGAGACTCAAATAATATAGCCTTGAAATAAAGTCATCAGAAAATCATGAAAAAAAGCTATAACATCAGAAACATCTGGACTACGCCCAAAGAAGGGAGTACTTCTAATAGAATTGGGTCACACCGGAGGGACAGCCTGACTAGGAAGGACTTGATGAAACTCCACACACCTCACTATTCAGCCCCAAATGCATCCAAATTCAACTTTTTCATCCAACATGCAGTGAACACTTGCACAGGATAAAATAAAACCAAGGAACCACACGACTGCAGGCCATCTGAGAAACAAGGGACGATACATAGTGCAGTGTATGGAAGTGCTGATATGCATGCAAGTCATGGGATGGACAGAACAAAACAAAGACAAGACATATCAACCATAACTTGAGACTCCTCTCTCTACAGTATCTCCTACAACAAAAACAGGGACATAAATTGAGACTAAGTCACGACACCAGTAAGAAGAACTGAACACTGGGAATTAATGGTCATATCAATCCATCTGGCAAAGAATCCATAGCAAAATATGCCATTCGTGCATACCATGAAAAAAGATCACAAGGGAAAGATCACACAGGACAAGCTAGAGACAGAACTCTGTATTGGCACTCAGCTCACATGAAGGAATTTTTTACAATCAAAGGAGAGCATTGCCATATGCCTGAGGGCACTAAATTCATTCATCTCAATAATACTGATACTACAAACCAAGCATTCACAGAAAAAAATAGATATCCTCTCAAGAGACATGCCTTACAAAATTATCCACAAACTCTATACAAAATATTTTACAAATCTGTTCTTCCATTCAGATCGAATGTTCAGAAATTCTGTGTAAATGTGGTCCCATGGGAATATCGAGATTCTCAGAAATCGCTGGAAAGAAGAATCACCATTACCAGGCTTAGCAGAGGGAAGGCACAATTGACAACCCTGAGAAGATTCACTACATTTTTATGCTCATAGAAAAAAAGGCATTACCCCAATTGGTTTGAGCTCATTAGATGCATCAGATCGGACAAGCTGCTCAGCTGATTACAGCAAAATGAAGTTCGGAAAATATCAATCCATTAATCTCAGAGCAAATATCAAGTTAGGAAATGGATAAAAGTTTCTAAGGAGCACACATGCCAAAGACTTCGTTAACAGCATCAATCACGGCCATGCTGCGGGCCCGGCTGCGGCTTCGTCGACGTTCCTTCTTGCGCTCATCTTCGATTTCTCGGCGGGATCGCGGGGCTCCCACCTTTCCATGGTCAACTGCATCGTAGTTGTAAGAATTCGGTCGACTGTTGGTAGCGTTGGATTCCACATCGCCAAGGTTCACATCCCGATACATGGTTGAAGTTTCTGAACTCGGATAACTCCCATAAGCCTCCCGCCGGACGGCGGAGATCCCCGAAGTCACGGAGTGGATGTCATCCTCTCGTTTGGATCGCCGATGGCTCTTGCGGCGCATCAAAAAGCTGAAGAAGTGAGAAGGTTTGTCTCGACTCACCTCAGCATAGATTTCATTTTGAGGGATTCTGGGTGGGGTTGCATGACGTTTCGGTCTGGACGGAAGGCGGCTCCTCTGGTCACACGGGACGATCTCATCATAATCTGGATTCTGTGGGGCACTGGAGTTCTGCGTCTTTTGCGTTTCCTTCGGAATGATAAGCGGAATGGCATCATGGACTTCTGCCACCACTGTCGTCTGCTGAGGCACAAATTGGTCTTCCGAGTCCGATCGACTCAGAGGGTATTCTTCGGTCTCATATGCCGAGTCGGGAGAGCGGCGGGTCTTGCCATTTTTAGAATCCGACTTTCCAGTTTCATCTTGGGACACATTCAGCTCCTCCCCTTCAAGATCTACAGAAGATCCAATTTGCCTCAAAACATATAGATCTCCAACTCTCAGATCACCTAGGGTGATGAATCAGGGGATAACTTAAGTTCTCGTCAGCCGATCACTTCTATTTCTGACACGTCCGAACTTCCATGTTGCAATGTTTCCCATTAATTACCAGTTTAACTAAGTTCACGGTAGAATGTCCATCGTTAACAGGGAAAGAACGGTTTTAATTAATCCCAAACTCGTCGAAAATAACGTCTGTTCTAAAAAAGTTACAACGCCACAGCCCCAGAATTCCGCGAAGAACTCGAATCTCTTGTCAGTGGGCTCAGCTGCCAGGCACAGAGATCGTCGGCCAACCATCATGATCTCGTCACGCGGCCAAAGGGATAATTAACTCCTAAATGGACCACTTATTTTTCACTTAGTCTTTTCCTAATTGTAGTATATATGAACCCAGGAAAGGGGGCAGGGATGACGTCGAAGCAAAGAGGTTTTTCTGCGTTTATATTTTATTCCCGAAAGTCAGCAAATGCGATGGCAACGTTCCTGATAGAGATTTAATAAATCCTACTGAAATAGAGAGGGAAGGATGAAAACTTAGATGGAATATTGGCATGGGATCTCAAGATTAAAATTTAAAAAAAGCCACAGGGATGGTTTAATTCTTTGATGGACCCTGTGTTAACGATGAGGGAGGCGTGCGGCCTCCATATTATTAAAAACATATATACTTATCACTTGAGAGGGGGGTAAGCGGAGGGGCGAACGAAGCCGCAGACGGGAGAGTGTGGGGAGGAAGACAACGTTTTGCGAGCGTCATGCTTTTCTCCAATGGCCGGCCAACGTAAACTCCCTATATTCGACCACCATTGTCATGACATTCGCGCTTTCTGATAAATTGTGATAATTTTACTTAAGTACAATACAGGAAAGGAAAGAAAAGAATATGATGCTGATTTTGTCTGGATACTTCGTATTTGAGCAGGTAAAAAAATTACAAAAAGCACAGAGTGAAAGTCGTGTGAGGGTCTCGCTCCCTGAGTCGTCACGTTTGGGCCTACGTCTGCTTTCACGACAACTTCTCTCCACAAATTACACCCTGTCTTTTATTGACGTCACGAAAAGCGGTAAAAATGTGACCATCATGGGTAGTAATGGGCAGTGAATTTCTTTTATTTCAGACGTTAGAAACGGAGCGGTATTTTTCAGTGGCCGGCCGACGATCCCATAACCCTCCTCCTCGACGGGCAGTAACTTACTACAACCTTTCACTCACTTTTTTCGGCTTTCTTGGTTGCTTCATCATCCTCCTCTTCAAAGGAGGATCCCAGTAGGGCTGACCCATCAAGAAGAGAGAACTTGGCTCGCAACTCCTCGTAATCCAGTCTCAGCTGCTGATTCTCATTCAGCAAGGCTTCTTTCTCCTTTTCCAATGCAGCCACTTTCACTTCTGTTTCCTTCAGGTCCCTCTCAGCAGCCTCTGCCCTCTAAGGAAATAACAGAATCAACCATACGGCCTTGATGTGATTGGAGCTGGCAAACAACTTCTCAACAAACAGCAAGAAAGAACTCACAGCCATGGAATCCATAAGCTCCTTCTGCAAGGCATCTATAGCTGTGCCATATTGTTCAACCTGCTTTTTCAGTTCAACAAAGATGTCTTCTCTATCACAAGATGTTTTGAATGTGGCCTTTTTCAGTTCAGCATATTCTTCCATTCGTTGCTTATACTTGGTAACAGTCAGCTCCAGTTCTTCTACCCGAACACTGCGCTCACGTAGAGAATCAAGTTCATCCTATGGAAGATAAATAATTGAAAACTGTCAATTTCTGGAGAGTTATCCATGTAGGAATTTCTAATGTTCCATGCCAACAATGAAGATGAATTTCGCACCTTGACCAAATAAGGTAAATTTGGCAATTGGCAGTAAATTTGCATCAAGTAAAATAACTGGATTCAAGGTGATCCAACTAATCTATATTTACATTAATCACTAAATATCTTAGGGTCATAGTGGACATTCCACATATTTTCTATACAGGTTGTCTCAGAAATCATTGGGAGTTTGTTGAAGGGGGAGGGGGAGAAAAGGAGAAAGGAAAAATTCTGTTAGATCAGTATCTTGTACAAAGAAAGTGCATTTTATCAGCAATAAAACTTGCAGCAACAAAACACAGGCTTACTTGCAAACGCCTATTTTGTGTTACAAGGGATGTTGAGGCTAAGAGCTGCTTCTCCAAGCTCAGTTTCTCTGACTCTACCTCCAGCAAGCATGCTTCTTGTCTTTCAGACTCTCGCTGCACCTGAAAGCAAACAAGTTAATCAATGCCCATGTTCACCTTAGACAAATAAGAGGAAACCTGACTTTTTCATTACTTCTTCAATTCTAGCACGAAGTTGTCTGATTGTGGCTTCAGCATTCTCCAAACCCTCAAGTTCCTGTATTCTCTTCCTCAGTTTCTCATTTTCTTCAAGAACAGCATTTTTCTCAGCAATCACTTCAAGGAGCTGAGTTTCTAGTTCTTCACATCTCAGAGCAGGATCACTGCATGGGACAGCCATGAGATGATGCTGAACTTCAGAAATGGCACTCATGAGAGCCTCTTGACTCTGTATATCCAGACTCATGATATTGGAGATGAAGCTTTCCCTTGAGTCACAGTAGACAGCGTATGCCAGGATCAGCTGGAAAAAAAATTACATGGCAAGATATGAAAGTAAACAATAAACTCAACCTATCTCCTAATTGGATGTAAGATTAACACAACCAACTGTATCTTTTCCAGAAATTTTCCAAAATCTCTTGTCCATTGTCCTTGAGGGACCTCTTTGGGACAAAAAACATCCCAAAATCAATTCCTGCAGTTAAAGACTTCAAGATACTGGACATTGAAGGCAAAAAAAAGTTGAGAAACAATGAAAAAATTTTTTTATTAATGCAATAATAAAGGAAATTGTAACCATATTCAGTTGCATTGCCTTGATTCAAAATAAAAAACCTATGAAATAGGTCAATTGCCAACAGGTGTGCCAGTAAACACCTGTTCAAATCCAATCCTATAATTGCATATGGAATTAACTTGGTTCACTAATGATAAACCAAAATGCATTTACATTTTCAAGCATAAATCCTTGAATGCTGTTCTGAAAATGAGACAGAGTCAGACACCCTAAAAAAAACATTAATATTATCTTCCATTATTTTAGTAGTCATGCTAAGCAGCATAGCCCACCTGGAGAAAGCGATGAAGCTGACACTGGTCAAAATTCTCTTCTCCAAGGCAAGAGATATCAGGTAGTTCAAAACCCACAACCAATAAACCAAGTTGGTGACGAAAAGAGAAAATGAGTTGATTAAGGATTGTTCTCAAGCGCCTGCTTTCTTGGGTTGGGAGCTGGGCTTTCCACGTCAATGTAAATGCACAGGGGTCAACAGCAAACAGCAATTGGAGCAGGAAATCAGAAGTCCTTGAAATGGTGGCACGAGGCAGGGAGAATGTGCGCACCCATGTATGCAGACAGCTTGGAGACCAACTTCTCTTCACTCCTGATGTCTCTAATCCTGAGACATCAGTTGAAGCCATCAACAATCATAGGACATGGATCTTTCCTAGTTCTGCTCTGCATGACTGCTAGTATTCAGCCTTTGTTGTTCACTGCCTCCCCAACCTTACTGCCCTACCACTACCTGTAAGAAAGCATGCCCAATTTAAAAATCATGCATAGCCTATCACAGCCCCAGTAGGAAGGGTTAGCACAACTGGGAGTATAGGCCTAAAAGCTAGGTTTGTACTTCTTATACTCAGAATGTTCAAAGAGCTACACAAGGAAATGAATAGAATTAGGCTACTGGTGGTGAAGGCCAGAAGGCATGTCCAAAAACAAAGGAAGAAAACTCATGATTAGGCCTAACCAGTAAGGGGTCAAATATGGAGGTCAGTTCTTTAGGATAGGATGTGAAACCTAATAAGAGCAAGTAGAAGCTCCAAAGGAGAAAAGAAAAGATGGCCTAGTCTTAGAACTAGCCTTTGAGTCTATAGGCAGGTAGACACTTTCACTCTTTGTGGTCCATTTTATTTGTAACACTGTGGAGATTGTCGGACTATGTTCACCAATAGACCACAAAAGGTTAATACTTTAGGAAGTCAAGAAAAATAACTGTGAAGTTACTTTTCCCACTTTTCATGTCATTCCTCATACATTCCAGCTGATTTCCATCAACTATAACAAGTTAAACTCCAGGTACCTTTATTCAGTGAAAATGATAATTTAAAATTCAGTTTTTTTTTTATTATAAATATGAAACAGCAGGAATATTTTAGATAGAAATCAATAATATTCTAAGGTTAACCCTTTGACAGGTGTATTTTTAAGACATAGCCTGCATGACAAGGGTGAGTTTTTTTCAAAGAACCACAGACTATAAGAATAAGCATACTTTCATTGCTCCAACCACTGTATTTCCATATCATTTGTTGATGAAACTTTGCAGATAAGTTTATTAATGTTTTCCCTTTCCATACCAGCTCATTCACTTTACTCTTCTTAGCTGCAGGTGTGCTTATACCCTCAATCAATTCATAGCCATAGGATTTCCTATCTTCACCAGATAACTCAGAAATTTTAGCATTGCTACATCACTCTATTCACCACTAGACTCACTACTGAAAATTAAATTTGCAATTTAATCTGATGCAAAAACTCTGCCTTTCTTCATGAATGCCATGTTTGTCAGGAGGAGGACCACACTCAATAAAAATATCAGCTGATAGGATATTGGTGTTCATATATGTATGGCAGTGCCACAATGCAAAAACATTTGAAAATGTATGATATACATATATAAAAATATATATATGTATGTCAGTACCCTGTCAAATGGTTAAATTCAAGAGGACCCCGAAGGGGTGAATGCAACTGAATTTTAAGACCCTGATGCAAAAGTGATTTTTCTTAGAGGAAGGTTTCATTTGATGAGTCACTCATCAGTCCCAACTGCCTCCTCTGAAATATGTTCTCTATTACTACTGGGAAGCATTGCTCTTGAGAACTAGACCTCTCTATATAAAAATGTGTCCACTCTGCATCATTACCCTGATACACCAGAGGTCCTGCTCTGTAGCAAAACATCTGAGTCTACCCAAATTCCAATATCCACTTCAGCACCATCAACCACTGCCTGATATGACATCAACACCAGAAGCAAGACTAGAAAACTTTCACTTGTTGGTCCAGGCCAAAATCTAGCTCACATAATGTATGAGACACACATGAACCAACTAGCCCAACCAATGAAACTGAGTTTGATTCACAAGGGCAAGTGTTGAAGTAGTGGATAATGTCTAAGACTGCCCAACCAAAACACCTTAGTGCTATTCCTCAACTTCAAAAGAATCTGACTCAAATCAACTGACTGATGTGATGCAGGGATAGAGGATAAAGCAGGAGCAGGGTATAAAGAAAACTTAAAAGAATGAAGGAATGACCACAGTAAGAAGAATTAGATGAAGGAACATTGAGAGGGGAAGAAGCAGTGAGAACAAGAACCAGATAGTAGAAATGGGAAGCTAAATGGAAGGGGCAGCAAGAGGAACCTCACTTCTCATACTTCCATTGTGAACAGCACTTCCAAGAGAGAGTTTGTATACAAAGGGATCATACATGTATCAGACACACAAGGCCCAAGGCATTTGCTATTTATGATGTGCAGCACACCTCTGAATGCTATTACTTCCACATCCAAGAAATGTAAATCTCTTTCCACCACTGCATAATGCATATTCAAAACCAGCTCTTTTTTTTTTTAAACATCCTTGAAGTAACACATTTTAACTAACATCTAAGTTGTTTCAGAAGTGGATAACATTTCAAATATTAAAAAAATACAATCTGAACCACATACTCCAAGAAGGATCAATTAAACTTTACATATCATATCATAACAATTGAAGTCAATGCATTTTCCACTGAATATTTGATGTCATCCTGGATATAGGCATAAAGTAGCACTGCTCCCATGTTGCTGAGACTCTTCCACTGGGAAAACTTTGAACTTCCAGTTCCCTTTCCAGCATGCAATCATGTGATTGCATCATCCATGCTGTTAATAACATCTGCTTCTATCATGCTCTCATAAAAACTTGAACTCATTCACTGATCCCTTTACAATTGTTGCATTAGTGTATAGAAAATCAGACTAATAGAGGAAGCTGAACTTGAGAAAAATGTAGAAAACAAAGAGACTAATAAGGAGGAAGAGGTTTTGAAGCACACTTTAAAAATGAATTTTTTTTAGCAGCCTCTTGGGAAGGTGAATCCCATCTCTACCCAATAATGATAGATAGGAAAGCACCAAAACTCTTGAGCTGAAACGCTCTTCACCAGGATCTTGACAAAGCTCTCCCATCCAGTCGACAAAGGAGGGCATATATACAGATACATTAACCTCACTGTATGTAGCCTGACTTCCTAATGCATTCATATAGCTCATGAATTACTGGTTTCTCAGCTACCATGTATAACAGTGTCTGCTTGCCACTCAAAGTATCACTGATACAAACATCCTCATCCTGTTCAGAAGCTATCATCTTCCTTCACATTTCCTTACCAAGCCAAGCTCTCATACCATTGAGGTCAGACATAGGAACTACATTTCTTATGAGCTGGTTCTTGCCATGTAATCCAGATAAGCTGAGAAGAGCAAAAAATGAAGGAACATTCAATGGTTTCCTTACATAGTTACATCAAATACATAAATTACAAGAAAATATTATGACTGTGTGCAATGATGCACATCATCAGACACAAAAATAAATTGCTGAGGCATCATGTTTACAGTGACTCACCAAGAGGTTTAGACAAAAATGGGGCCAGAGGGAAGAATCTGTGTATAGAGTTATGATGGTGCCAGTGTGGTTTTGCCCAAGAAAAATAATCCACCCTTTCATGTCTGCTTTGTGATGGTGTGACAATGGATGAAAAAATTTTCATCACCATTTCACCTTTTTTTTGTTGAAAAGCCTTACATCAATAGTTCAAGTTTTGCCTATGACAAAGCAGCAATCTCTATTAAATCATTTTCCAGGATGCAAAAATCCCTCAGGGTAACGCAAAACTTTTTTTTTTACTCCATGGGTTAAAATACATGAATTAATCAAAGTGGACAAAAGGGGGGAAAGACACAGACAATACAATAGAAAAATGTGCAAATAGATACAAAATATCCCTATAAGAAGGTAGAGTGAGTTACTAAGCTGGAGAGACAGGAACTGGAAGGATATGTTCCTCCAGGAGAGTGTGTAAATTCGGGAGAAGAAATGAGAGACTAAGGAGCAGCAGGTATGGCAGGGATTACTGTATTCTACTCACAAAAATGGTGCAGAGGACAGGAGGAAGATATGACAGAGCCAAGGAACTTGGAAACTTTGACAGAAGAAAACAAGAAGACCAAGCAGCAGTGGGCTCCACTCTTCTAAAAGTCAAAGTGAGTAGAGCATCAGTAGTGAATGATGCAGGAGATTTAGTCAGACAGGAAGGGATGACAAAGGAGAAAGAGAAGAGGATTAGGGGATGACAAGGAAGAACAAAGAGAAACTCCATGATGACACAAAATCATAGGCCTAGGCCTACCCTCTTTCGTTCCATTCAGGCAACTCAACTCCTTCACAAGTTTCAACAGCTAGGCCCACACAAGTTCTATGATAAGAGTGAGAGACCAAAACAGGAAAGATTGTCCATCTTCTCTGGCAACTTATCATTCCTGCCCTACATAGCACATCACTGGTGACAAGGATACATCCAATTAGGTGAGTAGATTCCACGTCTACCTTTACACCCATTTACCAGGATTTTATGAGCACAATGAATGCACTCACATATTTTGCTGATCAGGCACAATTTGTGACACATCTACATTGACTATGATTCTACCACTAATGTAATTGCCTCTTCTGCCAAAGAATCCTCAAAGGTGAGAAGACAGACTGCGAGAAGCATAAAATATCATAAAACCAGTGGAAAGCAACTTTTCTGATTTACTTGGATATTATTGATGGGGTGAAGTTCCGAAAAAATAAGGAAATAAAGTTTGAAATTTTACTACATAAGACAATGGCAATGAATATTTCAAACTTGTGACTAATAACTAGGGCTGTACCAATGGCCACATTTGGCTGGTGGGCTGATTTTTTCCTCTTAACCATTGGTCAGTGCTGATTGTGGCCTGAAGATGAAATTGCCTACAAATTCCAATAGGTCTAATTGGAACCCATGTGATACTTATCAGTAGGCCTCCTTGAAACGATAGAGACCATTTTTGGTCCTGTAAAGACTGTCCCTCTATAAGGCTGTCAGGGATTAGCTTGTTACTCATTGCTGCTATTGAGAACATTTAGTGACATCCCTTGCAAAACCACATAACCGACATAAATGGAGGTGTAATGATTTTCCATTCTTTATCACTACCTTGCCCCACCAGTTCTTATAATCCGGCTGGAATATAATCCAATCGATATTTTTGTCTGGGAGAGGCTTTCGGTGAGACAGAAGGGCCAGCACCTAGCCAAGTCATTTTTTTTTTTGCTTTGCCCTTTCTCTGGGCACAAGTGCCATAGGCCAATGGTGCCAATAGTACAACACTGGCAGCCGATACCAGTGTTAGCTGATGCATCAGTACAGTCCTACTAATAAATAAAATGACTCCTTCTATCCTTAAAGATTGATTTCAGAAAAGAAATAGATTGCAATGCAAACAAATACAATCAAATTTCACCTACTTTGATAGAAACTCAATTGCACTTCACATCAAGTTACAATGTCCATCATTTGCACCAAAAATAATTGCCAATACTTCTTTCATCACTGGTGTAAGATGAACTGCTACAAAAGGAAGAAGTTAAATTACTCTGATTATAATAGACTTTCAATGATATTTGTCTCAATGAAGCTCATCAGCAATAGGTGATTCACCTCCAGAAGGAAAAATGTAACACTTGTTGAGCCTAAATAAAGAATGTTCAGTCTCATCAAGGATGAGCTGTTGTTGCCATTTCAGAAAAAAAGCTTGTATGGTAGCTGAAGAAACTGAGGAATGGCTGAATATTCTGTTCATTGAGTATTTCAGAAAGGGTACTTTCCAGATAGCTTGAGCCTTCTATCACATTTTGCAGTGCCTACCATTTGGTCAAGAAGAGGCTAGGAGATGTAGAAACCTTACTTACACAAGTACAATTGTTTTAAGATAGGCCTACTAAGTTGAAAACAGAGCCTTCTTCAGAATCTGATAGTGTGATCTGGTGATTCGATTTGAGAAAACCCCATGCTATTCATTTTTATAAAATTCAAATTTCCATATTAATGCTAGAAGAGGCTTTGGAATGGTATTAGCCATAGTATCAACGCTCTGTATAAATGATTCGCATTGTTTCTTTATCATGGGTTGCCTTGCATAATATGCAAAGCACCTCCATACCGGAATAAAAGCAGAAAGTTTAGTTTAGTTATTCATGACATGAAGGCAAACACATGTTACATATGACAACTTGTACAGGCAGAGGGGCAATAGCATTGTGCGGGTTGTCCCAGAGAAGCAATAATGAAGAGAATGAGCCAAGGTTTATGCCCAAATCAAGGCAGAGAATACTGCCATGCAAAACAGTATAAATATTTTTTTAAATAAGAGACCTATCGCACAGCGCAGATGTCCAGCTTGAAAACGACAAGCTGGCTTAGATAATTTGGTTCAAACCATTTCAGTCTCAGTGAGAACCACAAAACCACAGAACCACGGCTGGGCGAGATTTAAAGCCAACGACAGCCATATTGAAGATTGCTCAGATATTTACAGATGGCGGCGCTCAGCAACAGCAAGCTTCTATGGCCTATGGTTTTGCAATGTTTTCACTTGAGTGAGACATTTTTTGAAGATGACTCGAAAGCCAAATACAGCATTTCCCATGCATGGGTCCGGACTAGGTAAAAACATCTCGTGCTCACCTGAAAAAGCTTTACAACGGTTATTCAGTGGTTATTCAGGACTCAACACTTTATTTGAATCCGTCAGGTTTTCATTTCACTGTATAATCTGTGTGATGGTGGCGAAAAAGAGAACCCCAGTCTGACTTGGGAGTGTGCGCTCAATGGAAACGTACTAGCCTAACAGGTTAAGGATCTTGGCTTAAGTTTTACAGTGAATTTGGGTTTATGTCAACACTCAAATTCCAAACAGGACAATCAATGATTTTGTCATTCAATTAAGTTTGAGCTGAAATTTGAATGCATTTCAAATCCTTTTGTGAAACATCTCCAGTTAGGCCTAGCACAAGTTGCACAAACTGAAAATAGTCCCAACTGTATCTTAAGTTATTGTTGCCATGGAAATATAAGTAGGCTGATTTCCATTTGTGAGCCCTTTTGGTTTCCTAAATTCATCTTACATGCATTTGTCAATTGTCTTGTATATATCTCCTCTAGGCTTTAGGCCTGGGATCAAGATTCATGTCTCAATGCAAGGACAATTTAATTAGGGGGAAACAGGGTATTGAAAGAATGTATTACTGCAGCTCAAATTAGTGATTTGGATTGATGTTTTACCCTCATAGACTTACAGATACTCTTACATACAGATTCTCTTATATTGCACTAGGCTTTTGCCCAGGGTTGTGCATGAAACTTTAGAAAGGATCTTAACTTTTCTAAATGTGAAATCTTGGAATTTTGGCAGTTAAACTATAGTTTAGCTTTAGTTTCATTTATCTGATACTGGAATGACAATAGTTTAACATTCGCTTTTGGTATTTGTCTAGATTTAGATTTGGCCATTGGAAAAAAGTACTTTTTTTGCTTGCCACTTTTAGTTTTAGATTGACTCAGTTTTAGGTGAATGAAGTCACTAACCTGGGTTATATTCAATCATTGTATCACTGTGAGCCTACAAAGATAAGTGAATGGAAATAATTGAGTTATCTGCAGAGGATTTTTTGTTTTCAGAGTGCATTCCAGTCTGATCCAGAGTTGGATCAAAGACTGGAATAGGCCTATGATCAGTGTGAAAGAAAAGATTTTGAAAAATGTGAGTGGGGAAATAGGCCCACCCCAGTATCCTCCAAGTTGAGGATGGAATGGGAGATGAAAGGCGATCGGAAAGGACCTGGACCACTGCCACCCAGATGGCTTCATTGCCCCAGAAAAGCTACAACTCTCATTGCTGGGAAATTCTTGGCCTTCAAAACTCCCTTGGATGCCCGGTTTGATGACCAAGTCCCAGAGGAATGTCGCTTTTACCCTGAAATGGTTCTCGAGTCCATGAAAAGTTACCAGGTGCAGTGTGTGCTTCTTCTGCTGAAACCTTTGGCTGCATAAATTTGATAGTGTATTTGTGCATTCATGAGTTTCTTGTTTTCTGAATTCAGGTGAAAATTGCACTATGGATTGATCTGACTTACACAAATCGTTTCTACAATCCCAGTTTTCTGACCTCTCATGATGTGAAATATTGCAAATTGGAATGCAGGGGTCATGGAGAGACCCCTTCCCCAAACCAAACAAAAACTTTCATTGAGGTGTGCCACAAGTACTTCACCCACACACCAGATGCAGTCATTGGTAATGTTTGATTTTTCCCATGAATTCAGCAATGCCATTCACTTTCCTCACCTACTACTTGTAGAAGTGATATCAAGCTGCTTGCATTTCATCATCCATACTTTTTGCTTTTCAGCTGTTCATTGCACCCATGGCTTTAACCGCACTGGATTCCTTATTATTGCCTATCTGATTGAGAAATGCGATTGGTCGGTAGAAGCTGCCCTCACTGGCTTTGCTGAGTGCAGACATCCTGGCATTTATAAGCCAGATTACTTGTCAGAATTGTACAAGAGGTATGGGGATGTGACTGACACTCCTCCACCTCCTCCCCTGCCTGACTGGTGTCACGGTGAGCATTAGTCTCCTCTTGACCCACCTTATGCATGTGCATAATGATGAGCCTTGCATTTGTGTCAGCAGAGGATGAAGACTTTGACGATGATGGAGAGGTAGTGAATGGGACAGCCAGGTTCAGTGATCTTGATGACCACTCTCCTGCATCCAGAACTATGTCAGCCTCTCTTTTCACTTGTTCAGCTCTCCATACATTTGTTGTATCACTTTAGTCTTTAACATGTTGGCAAACATTACATTGTGACAGGAAGAGGAGACGAGAACAGCTGAAGAAGACCTCTGAGTTCATGAAAGGTGTTCCTGGTGTCCAAGCACTGCTGAACTGGGATAAGGTAGAACAAATTCAGAAGAAAGTGGAGGAAATGTGCGAGTGGAAGTGGTGAGTTGCTTCACCATAGCATTGGTATATTATTCTTTATGTTATATAGTATGGGAATGAGTGATGATCCTTGGGCTCTGTATCCAGGGGTGGATTCCCTGGGAGTCAGCCTGTGTCCATGGACATGCAGAATATTACACTACTTTCAAGTGAGCCTTTCAAAGTCTCCTGGAAAGCAGATGGGACCAGGTGATTGCATCTCTATTATTTTCTTGAAATGTGAATGTATGATTACTATTTTCTCTAGGATATTATTAAAAACTTTGCTTCTCTGCCTACAGGTATATGATGTTGATTGATGGGGAAAATGAGGTGTACTTCATAGATCGTGATAACTGCATCTTCCAAGTTGAGAACCTCACGTTCCCTTGCCGGAAGGGACCAGAAAAGCACCTCAATAACACCCTGTTGGATGGTGTAGGTTTCTTTCTACCTCTTGTATTGTTTAGGTGAAGAGTGGCTGCTTAGATTTCATTTTATTTAGGAATAGTTCTTGCTAGTTCTTGTCATAAAATGGTGATTCCTACTTTTTAAGTAATTATACTGATGATTTCTGGTTCTGGTGTAATATAGGAAAATAGCAATTTCTTGTTTTTACCAGTAGCAAGCAGTGATTTCTGCTTAATACCCATAGGAAATGGTGATAGATGAGTCAGAAGGGAACAAGATTCCCCGATACCTCATTTATGACATTGTCAGGTTTAGAGGGGAAGAAGTGGGCAAGACTCCCTTCAATGTACGACTCTACTGCATTAAGGTGAGTGCCGGAAGGTATCAATATCCATGGGAAGAAGGAATTTATAAGAGGATGAGTGGTGGGATGTTGCAGAAGGAGATCATTGAGACGAGGCACCAGGCGATGATGGCTGGTACCATTGTCCGTACATCAGAATCATTTGGCCTGCGCGCGAAGGAGTTCTATGACCTGAACAAGACCCGAAGCCTTTTGGGTGAAAAATTCCGCAGTTGCCTCTCACACCCACCTGATGGGCTCATTTTCCAGCCCATTCACAGGGTGAATATAATCCCTCTGGTGTCTTTCTGGCAGGGCTGAGTAATGTGGTCTTGTGCTGCTGCCAGTACGTTACATTATTTATTTACTCCTTGGTTTTTTTACATTTTTATGAACAATATCATAGCCATTCATTTCATTAGCCAAACTGAAATTCAACCAAGCTTAAATGGCATTTCTAAAAATAAGAAATACCATGAATGTGTCAGAATTTCACATTGCCTTAGCTGTACTTTGTGCATGAAAAGAGCTGCATAAGTTATCAATCTCCTAGCCAGAGATCATGTGTTCTTGGTGACCTTTTAGCATTTTTCTGAAAAATACAGTATTTCTTTATATAGTTTTTAGGTTTAAAGGATACTGGGTCTGTCCATAGGGTTGGGCATGACATCCAGAGTAATCACATTTCATCACATGTTTTATTATCATGAGAGTGGTTGGTATGAATAATATATCATAATCATGACCAATTCTTTCATTTTTCAATGTGATATTCTCTTTCATTCATGTCTTCTGGGGAAAGAGATGATGAACTTCTGTAGTGAAAGTAATATTTGGATATTTAGCAAAATTTCCAGCTAAAATCCTAGGACCACTTGGCATGAACAGACCCTACTATCAAAATGTTTTGTGAGGCTCTTTTGTTATTGTCAGGGTGTGAAAGCATAAAATTATTAATGATGTCCTTCCATGATTTTCCTGAGTAATAATGTTTCTTTCCTTAATATTATTTTTTGTTCTTTCCATTTGGTTAATTTTTTTTAAGGGCCTATGGCAGCATTAGACCTATATTATGTTATTTTGTTTCATTTCTTTTACACTTTTCTAGTTTCTTCATGATGTTGTTCTCTAATCATGATTATGTCTTCCCTGCAGCCTTATAAAGCTGGTCGCTGCGATGAAGTGCTGAAATGGAAGCCAGGCTCCCTGAATTCTGTGGATTTTCGGCTTCAAATAGTGGAGGAGAATCGAGAAGGGTGAGAACAGAAAAGGAATTCCTTGGCTGATTGATTATATTTCAAATTGGTGTTCATGTGCCTTCTTTGGCAGAATGTTGAAGATATCCAGGGGTTTACTCTATGTTGGGAGATATGATGAGCCCTTTGCTGAGATGAGGGTGACAAGGGAGCTAAGGCAATACAATAAAAAAATCATTGAATGCAAATATGAAAATGGGCAGTGGGTGTTCCTCAGAGAACGCACCGATAAGTCGTTCCCCAACAGCCTCGAAACAGCCAAAGGTATTTCTTGAATTAGATTGTAGTTGGATGATCAGTAAGCATTTTATTGCCATTGTGTATGCATCCTTGTAGCTGTGTGCCAGAGCATCATTAACCCTGTGACTGAGCGATTCCTCCTAAACTACATAGACCAGAATTACCAGCAGAGTCAAGCTCAAGTCACGGTCATGCCGCGGAGACCTGCCCAAGAATCTGAGGTGCCTCCAGCTGGCAAACAGCCTCACATTGCTTCTCATTCATCTTGAGATTTTTTCAGCACCTGACATCATGAAATTAAGGCAACTGGTTGCTCTTCATAGCCCCATTTTCCCATTCAATTTTGGTTGTTTTTCCTACTAAGTCATGGTGTGCTTAGACTGCTGTTAAACCACAGTTGTCAGTTGTCCTACCCATGCCATTATGAAGTAACTTGATCAACATCTAAGGCTGAATTTCCACAAGAATCTCAAAAAGGGTATATTTTAGGACAGATTTTCATGGTTTTAAAAATGGAAGTTCACTTTATTTGTCATGCTTATCTTTGGGTCTTTTTAATCCTAGGATGCATGACTAAATTATTATACATATTTCCATAGGTTGGGTCTATGGGACCCACTACCAAAAACATGCATTAGTTTGACATTTGAAGAGAACATTACATTTAGTAAAGGAGTGTCTCCATAAGAAACCTATGAATAAAGTATTGTAATGATTTTGGAAATAAAAATTCACTTGTATTCCCTAAAAATTCCCTAAGACCCATGTCATGCATCCTATGGTTAAAAATACCAACTATGACTATGCCTTTTCATTGCTTGGTTTCAGTGATGTTGATTCTTATCTCATGTTTATGCTTGTTGTGGTACCTGATTTTGTCATCTGTCACTAACTATAGGCCTGCACCCTTTAGTGGAGAGATCTCAGGGACTTTACCTTTTTCACAAAATGACCTTTTGATCTGCAGGTTGCACTCGATCTCATCTCATTTTATTTTTCTTGGATTTGGAAAAAAGAGGAAAGCAAAAGGAAGCCATTGTGAAGCCACTTCCACTCAGAATAATTCTATGGTACAAATTGTTTTATATGCACCTTGGATTTCTCCAAACCCAAAGCATGCCTACCCAGCATGTCTCCTTTATTTGTTACCTCCATGATGGTAGACTTACAAAACAGTGTAGAGTGTCTGTGAATTTTTGGGCTGGAATTTTTCTGTTCCAATGTAACCCTTACCTGTGCTTCTGCTAAAGTAGACACAGTACAAATGCTGCTCATAAGTACAGTAGCTTGTAGAAATAGCTTTATATTTGCCTTGCTGCAGGATTGTGGGAAATTTTTTTTATCTCCAGAACACAATATGGTTTTGTTTTTTTTGTTTTTTGTTCCAATGAAAATTTTCTGTGTTAGGAATGAAAAATGATATTTTTTATCTCACGCCCTTTTTTCTTCATTGGGAATAACAGGTATTGAAAAATGCAACACTGCATCTGGATACACCTACATCCCCCAATACAAAATCTTGTGCTGAGAAGCTCATCTCACCCAACAGAACAGTCTTTGGTATCCAGGGTCACTAAGGTATATATTTCCTGGGAACAATGGGGTAAACTTGGCCTCTGTGCAGGAAGGGTCACAACCTTGCAACGATATTCACTGCCTTCCCTCACAAGGGCCCACATTGCATATAACCAAATGGAAGTTGTCTATTCTTTTGATTACAACTTGAGTCAACACTGAAAGGTAGAGGAAAACAGAGCAATTTAGCAGTTGCATGGGTCATGAAACATGAAAGACTTGCAGATTTGATAAATCAAAATTATGCCAAACCATAAAAACAAAGATTTAAAACCAATATAAGATGTCACATCCAAACTTCAAATGGTGCAAATACAAATGGGTTTGATTGACTGGGCAAGAAGAAGCATTCAGACTCATGAGTATCATGTCAAAGCAACCAGGGTAGGCATATATGAAAGTGTGCTGGAATCATTGGTGCCACAAGTATTGGTAACCAACACGGAAGAATGACGTCAAGGAACGTCCCCCAGTACACCAAATGTCACTCAAAACATCACAGACGAAGGCATGAGAACTCTCCAAGATCCCTGGAGTGGAACAAAATGTGGACTCCTTTGAAGTTGCTGGAAGAGATTTTCATCTTCTGGTGATGGTGACACTCCGAGGAACAGAGGGAAATGTGGTTGGGTAAATTCTTCTAAGCGTATGGGAATGAGACGAAGAGCGGGTCTCATAAGATGGGAGGGAGGAAGCTGTCTTCGCTTGGGGAGATATTGTCAGCACAATGACCAGGCTTCACCGTCCGACTGGGCAACATCGTCATCTTGGCGTGGATCACTTCCTCCATGGAACCTCTTTTCACGTTCTGATTGATCACTCGCCGTGCCACATCCTTGTGGATCAACCAATCATGCTTCAGCGCTTCGTCTGGCGTCATACGCTCCTGGGGATCCCAGCTGCAAGGTCATAACATGTAATGAGCAATCTGACAAATACCAATAGTCTTTGGCAGCAGTCAAAATTCCAGAATGACTTCGAAAATTGTAAGAATAAAAGTTGAGCACAGACCGGAGACAGCTGGAGACAAAATCCAAGAAGAGGGGATCGGAGGCCTTGAGGGCGGAAGACAGGTCCCGGGTCCCGGGACGACGCTTTCGACCCTTGCTATTCGTGATGCATCGAGCTTCACCGCGGGAATCTGCCCACACATTTCATTACGTTAATCACTGGGAGGCATTCATTTTATGGAGACAGGGCACGGAGAGGCAGACTGACCAAAGAAGATGCGCTTCCGTGGTGCATTTGCGAGGATCTTCTCTGGCGGGGGACCCAAGATCTCCATGAGACACGCCAATTGCTCCACTTCATTCTCACCAGGGAACAAGGGGAAACCTGTTGCCAGCTCCGCCAAGATGCAACCTGTTTCCGCATGATTCGTATAGACCAAAGCTGTTATTTAAAATTCGACTCTTATGAAGGAAAGAATTCAGGATAGAAGAGGAACAAACCAAGGCTCCACATGTCAATCGCTGTTCCATAGGGGAGACCCAATATGACCTCAGGCGAGCGATAGAACCGACTCTGGATGTATGTATAGACACGTTGATGAGCAAAGCAGGAACTCCCAAAATCGATCACCTTCAACAAGGTACTCCCTCGATGCTTCAACAATATGTTTTCCTGTGTGGATCAGAAATCAAAGTTCATTGGAACAGGCCGAACAGAAAAAGAGAACACTCCACGAAGACCATTCTAAGCATAATTCTTACGGGCTTGAGATCACAGTGAATGATGTTTTCCCGATAAAGAAGGCGAAGACACTGGACAACAGCAAATGCGAACCGCCTCATCAGGCTCACGCTCAGCCCTTGAAAGTTGTTCTTCTTGATCAACTCGTAAAGGTTCAACCTGCAGGTCAATGGTCATTTGTCAGAGGCGGGCGAAATCATTCATTAAAATTCATGATTTTAATCATGAATCACACCATGAGACTTAATTTGCACCATGTGCTGACATATCAAATCAATCCATTATTTGATTCTAAATTTGACATCTGAGATCTGAAATCATGAATTGCATGAATTGAACATGCAGAATGTTGAATATTCATGCGATGGGGATTTTTTTGCCATTTGCAGCACTGGTACATGGATGATACCTCCCAATCATGATTTACTTCACTCAAATCACTTAATCGTGACGCGAACAGCTGATTTTATAATGACATCGGAAAATTCCTGCCACACCCCCTCTTAGCATAGAACGGGAAGAGCCTCAATGCCTCCTCCAGACTCTATGGCAACCCTCCAAAGACGCCCCCACCGCGAACCAAACGAAAGGAACCCGCACCCGAGCAACTCGAAGGAGATGCATAGATGATTCCGAAAGTAGAAGTGATCAAACATCCGGATGACGTTGTGAAGTCCATCCCGGTCCTTCTTTCTCAGGTGCTCCAAGATCCTCACTTCCACCAGGGCTTGAGCATGGAACCGCTTCTTGTTCCTGACCAAAAAATGAAGTCCCTTCAAAACCCTAGCCGACAGGGATAATCCTTCCCCATCCTCTCCCTCAAAAAAAAATCTGCATTTCCTGTACCGGATTATTTTAATGGCGACCTGCTGCCCCGTCTTGTAATCGTGGGCTCGAATCACCTGCCCGAAACTCCCGCGTCCAATCACCTCCAATATCTCGTAGCGGTACGCCAAGTGATCGTGTAGGACCTGAGGGGAGCAGAATAAAAATTGAAGACACCCGTCATGTCAGCCCCCCCCATTCCCCATGACAAGCGGAAGCCGCAATCCGAGACCTTGATGTACGATCCGTGTTCATCGTCGAAGCCCCCATTGGCAGGCCCCAGGTCTTCACCCGGCCTCGGCTTCCTCGCATCCAAGCCCAGGTAGAAAATCTCCTGGTATCCGTGGATCTCCGACCTTTCCACCGCCGTCAGCTGGGAGTAATACAGCCTCAAGGCCTCTGCGGAGGGGGAGACATGCATTTCTGTGATTTTTTTTCCCCCGTTTTTGTCCGTTCCACTTACCCCGCTTCATTACGAGACCATCACGGAACCCGGTTTCCCATATTAAAAACAATTAACCAGCTCCTCGTGCGGTCTAGTTCATTGATTCCTTTTCTCTACTTTCAGAAGCTCTCGAGGACGCAGGAAACGCACGAGCCGCGAGAAATGACAAATGACACACGACACAGTTCCCATCCCCACGCCCTTCCCATCTTCCCTCGTTACGTACGAGACGAGGTGTACCCACCTTGCGGAGACATGGCCACCGTCTTCTTCTCGCCCCCCTCAAGCCCATTGAAGATCGGGGTGAGGTTGTTATTGAGTATGTTGGTCGCGTTGGAGTTGTTGAGCGGCCGGCGCTGTGGGCTGGGCTGGTGATTCAGCGACGGCAGAGGCCCTTGCCCCTGCCCTTGTCCCTGTCCCTGTCCCTGTCCCTGCCCCGGCCCCAGCCCAGGGGACCCCGCCCCGGTCTCGGGTCCCTCGTCCGCCTGCACCAGGTTCAATCGGGATCCGGACTGGTTCTTCAGATTCCCAACCCCCCCGCTCACCAGCGACAGGACGGGCAGCCTCTGAAGCGGAAAAAAAATCGGTTACGATCTGCCGAATCGGTGATGATCCGCCTCGATGATCCGAGGGTCACGGTGTGACTCGTGACTCACCTCCGAAGGGTTTCGAGTCAACCTGGTGCCCTGGGGTGGCAAGGGTGCTCCTCCGTGCCCTCGTTTCGCTCCGCCTTCACGGTGAGGCAACGGTGGGCTCTGGAATAGAATGGAAAAGGTAAATCCTAATCGTATTTGCATAGTCGGGTGACGCAGATCCCTTTGTATCAGCGATTCTCGGCACGGTCCGAGTTGCATGCCTTCGTGATCGGGGCGACACCGAATGCCACTTTTAACGGCGCATCACGACTCCTTAGAGGGAACGAAAAGGAGAGAAAATAATGACGCACTTTTTCAATCCAGAGACGGCGTCTCTCGCTTTCCATTATTCAACCCGACATGCCTGATCGACGATGACGTCCTCATAGCCACCGGTGAAACGCCGAATCATCGATTCCCCCTCTAGCATCCACCGAGAGACACCTCCCAGAAATAGTGCGTCTCGTTTTGCTCTCCTTCGAGGCCCCGTAACGGCGACCCCCCGACCCTCACCCTCGAGCTGGGACACGGCGGGAAGGAACGAGAGTGGAAGAGGGCGCGACCCGGGGCCGGGGCCATTTATCCCTCCCTCACGCGCCCACTGTTCTCGCTATCGTCTCGACCGGTGAGGGATTAGGGGAACTGGGGAATCACTCGGCGTGAAGTTCCACGAGTTACCCGGACGAAGCGTCGCCGATCCGACACTGGGACGATTCACTTCCCTACTATATGATTTCACCGGAGTCGGATGGAGTTGACAGAGGTAGTAATTTTCGCGGACGGCCCTCCCTCCGTCCCTCCCCATATCCACAGCCTCAAGCCCTCTGCTCATCCGGAGGAAACGGATCCCTTTCTTCCCCCGTCGCCTCGTCCCTTCATCGAAACGATCGAATAGTGAATCTGGTACGGACAAGGCGCGAGCAAATACAAGACCCAAGCCAACTGCAAGGCGGACGATCTGATAGCGGAGACTGATCAGGTAGGAGGGAGGCGGAGAGGATGAGGGGGCCGGGGAGGAGGATGAAGGGGGGCAAACGGGGGAGGCATTTCGAAGTACATCCCGAGGGAACACCCCGGGACAACGCATAATGACAATGTTTCCTGCCTCCCTTCTTCCCCCCTTTTCGCTGTATCTTTGCAGGGACCGTGTCCACAGATACCTTGCAAACCATACCTTGCAAAATTCCGTGCGAGGGGAAAATATTAAGAATGCTCGAGAACCGAGGCCCCTTTATTTTCGGTTAGAAGTTTGTAAGTTTATCCTAACCACGAGAAAATGACACGGTCCAGCGGAAGCTCCAAGGACGAGCGCCACTCGAGGGTGGGCGGCAACGAAATTTCCGCATGGAAATAGGGGCCGTGAAGCCAAGGGGATGAGGGGACCCGTGATTGCATCGAGATGGGATCGGCCCGAAGCCCCGTGATTCATGACGACGCCACCGGGAAGAGATCCTGAGTTACGAGATCATCGTCATTACTGCCAGCCTCTCAAAAGGTCGGGGAGGCTTAATGTCGGATTTGATGAGTTCGGGGAGGGGGGGGGGGAGGGGGGGAAAGGAAGGGGAAGCGTTCGTGCGGCCGTCAGCTCTGAGTGAAAGAAGAGCCACGATGCGTTTACGATACCGAACAAATAAAAAAATAAATAAAGGTCTCTCGGTTTCGTGGGTTCCGCCACGGATCACAATCAATGCCGCAAGTGCACCGCTTTTTCTTCGCGTCGTGGTCGACTTAATTCATCGCCAGGGGGGGCGAACGAGGGCTTGCATGTCGGCTCTTGCGCCATGCATGGGCTCGGAAAATGCGACTCGGAACACGACGGTCTGCCGTGCTCCTCACGACGGTCTGCTGTGCCCCTCACGGCGGTCTGCCGTGCTCCTCTCTCCGTGGGAGCGAGAGAGAATTAGTCGAGGGAAGAGGAAGTTCTCTCTCTCTCTGGAGAAACAATATTAATTACGTTTTTCATTGCTCCTTTCCGCTGGGAACGCCTTCTATGATTCTCTGTCGGCACGCAAGCTCGTTCCCGTGCCCTTCCGACGGCCTGACGGAAACTCGGGGAGTTTTCAACGGAAAATAAATGACCGCAAAAAAAAAAACCAACAAAAGGGGAAATGATCGACATGGGAACGTACCCGCATGCGTGTGGGGTGTGGATGCCTACCACCATTTCTGCACAGTTGGCATTGACAGTGTACGTAATGAGGGGGGACGTATAGCCACGCGACGCCCTTGAAACCCAGCGGCGGCTCCGGCGGTTCGGGAGTGGGGGCCCGCGGGGGAAGCGACGGGCTCGTCTGGTGGCGACCGTTCTTCAACACACTCCGGCCGTTCTGGATCACGCTTCGCTTCCATCGGTTCGTGTCGAACTGACACGCACTCAGATCGAACTGGCTCCGGGTCTTCGTGTCCCTGCCCTTCTCGTTGTGCGGGCAGAGGTAGTCGTCCAGGAGGTAGAAGGTCTCGGAGGGTCCGGGGACCCTGGCGTTGTTCCCGGCTGCGAAGGACGTGGGACGCCCCGAGCTCAACTGCGGGGGTCGCAGCAGCGACGCCACGCTCCGCCAGCGACGAGGTCGCACCCGGTTCGCGTTCGGCTCGGCCGTCGGCGGGAGCGGCGCGACCGTGCCCGCGGTCCCCGCGGACTGCTCGGACGTCTCCACCGGACACACGATCGGCCGCCTGGAGCCGGGCAGCCCTAGACCTCCCAGTTCGGAGGCGGGCAGATACGGCAGGGACTTGGGGGCGACCAGGGACGGCGGAAACGCCTCCTTCCTCCAGGAGCACGGCTCCGCGACGCTGAATCTCTTCCTCGAGGATCCCCCACCCCCCGACGAGGAACCGCTGGACGAGCCGCGCGGCGTGTTCTGCCAATAGTCTTCCAAGAACCCGTAGTCACTGGAATCACGGCTTCCGCTGGTCACCTTCGAGGTGCTCCGTTTCAGGCCGACCTTCGGGCCCTGAGCCTTCAGATTGGGTCCCATGAGCAATCGACTCAACGTTCCGTAGAAGTCCCACGAATGCGGTTTTTCCTTTTTGTGGGGTGTTGGGGTTCTTTCGGGCGAGGCCTCCACTGGAGCCATTTCACTGGCGTCTTCCGCATTGCCTTCTGATACCGAACACGGAAATAAAGAAAAACAAACCAAAAATAAGGAAGAGAAACCAAAATAAATGAATAAAACGATGAACGAAAAGGATAAAAACTTAAACCGAGGGAAAGAAAAGGGCCGGGATGAATATCCTACAGCGACTACATCGAGCCTTTGTCTAAGACTACGGCATGGCACTCTCTCGCGACAGCCCATTCTGTTGATAAATCACAACGACCTTGAAATCTCGCTTGCCATCAACCTCTCGGCTCCGATCGCAACCGGCGCTAGCAAGGTTCTGAGACTCGACATCTTCCCGACATCTCCCCGACATCCCACTGATATCCCCGACATCCCCCGATCGGCGACGCGTGCGTGCTCCGAGATGAAACCCCGGAAGACATACGGTATTATCACCCTGGAGGACTTACGGTGTGTGGGGGGGGGAGGGGAAGAACGCTCACAAAGCCTGGAAACACGGCTATTGTTGGACGAGTCCCTCAACTGGAAGTTCTCACGAGGAAAGCCCCCGAGGGACAGGACGTCATATTATATGAAAACAAAGATTGGAATCGCCGGAGAAGGAAATGTGTGTAACGGGAAATCGAAGGTCTCCTTTCAATGGCTCCAACACTCATCTCTGTCTCTCTCTCTCGGGTCATGTTCATGGATTATATCGGCTGGGAATATCCCTTCTCGGATTCCCACCGCAAAAGGAAGGCCTCGGAGGCCCTCGGGGCATCGACAACCATCTCACCCCCTCTTTTCTCGTTCGCGTCATTTCGGATTCGGCAACGATTTCACGGTTCTCTCGCCGAAACGATGGCGCAAGCGGCCACGGGTTTTGGGGACGAAACCTCGACAGCTGTGCGAGGCCGAGTACGACCAAGTACGGCCGCGGTACAAAGGTCAGGCTGACTCAAATAAAGCGAGTGGCCTACATCGCGGAACCTCAAAGGTCACGAAGGCGACCGCAAGCGATGGAACATCAAGGAGTCATCGACGGCTGCTTCCTGAAGCCTAGGAAATTCTCCGCAAGTGACACGGAAATTTCCTTCTGGCCTTCGAAAGAGGGCAGAGAAGGGTCCCATTGAAAGTGTTTTAGGTTAGGGCGAGGAAAAAATAACGACTCGAGGCAGAATCGCCCCCAGATGGGAAAGCATTAGCTCAGGGGAGTGGCATCGTCCTCATATGCAATGGTAACGAGCTCCTTTTACCGGTCGGCGGAAAAAAAAAAGAGGTTGACACAAAAGGTGTAAAAAATGTATTCGGCTTTGCAGGGAAATTTAAGCACGAAGAGTGCCGAGAGGCGGATGCGATCCTTACACGTCTGCGGGAAGGGGCCGACGGGGAGATCCAGAGGCTTCCACTCGAGTGAGTGGGCGAAGAGGGACTTTCGGTGGACTCGGAGGGGGCATTCAGTGGGCTCGGGGTCCGGGGCCTCCCCTTTCTGGCTGGGAAATCAGTGGAGTGAGACTCCCATCAGAGGGAAACAAAAGGGGGGGGGAAAAAAGGAAATAAAGAACCGCGAGAAAGGGAAAGCTTCGTCTTCTGCTCAGCTTCTCTCACACATTTTATTTTTTCACATTATTTCCGCCTGCTCCATCATTAAAGCTTGGCTTCCTGGTAATTCGGGGTTTTGTCACTTGTTTCGCAGAGACGCGAGGGAGTTCGAAAACCTCGGACAGGGGAACGGGAAAAATCTTGTTTCCGACGGATTCCGAGAAGAGTTCACCGACGACGACGGGAACGCCACTTCCTCGCCGTTCCGAGTCTCGGGGATGCACCATCGATTCGGATTCCGCGAAGACGATCTTCACAGTCGGCGAGAAACGCGTCCCGGTCGAATGAAACCAGGAGAAACTCGTGTCCTGTCCTTTGTTTCTTCTTCCAGAACGAAGAAGAAAGGGGCAGGGAGAAGGCGAAGACGGCGGTGAAAGAGGACAGACCCTCCCGAGTCCGTCGGCCCCGGCGAGAAGAAAGGATCAAGTCGAAAGGCAAAAAAAGGGCAAAGGCAAAAAGTGAAAAAAGGGCAACGGCGAAGTCGCAGACTGAGTCGCAAACGGAGTCGCAAACGCGGACCCCTTCCGGGAAATTCCTCCTCCCGCCGCATCCCGATCGAGCCCAGATCGGAGTCCCACGGGATCGCATCATCCTAGGGAAGCGAGACACGGAGATACTCGCCCGAGAGAAGGCCAAATCCAAGATCAGATCAAAGATCAGATCAAAGACCAGATCCAAGGAGACCAGATCCAGGAAGAAGACCAGATCGTAAGTCCGAACCGATTTCGATACGCGGTGGCACGAATGTTCCAGGGGAGAGGCTCCACGTCTCCACGGAGAGAGAGCCAACTCCGGTCGAAAATCGAGCGGCTCGGCAAAAAACCGTCACGCTTCCCGTTGTGGGAAAGAGCGAAACCGCATCTCACCTTTTCCAGACGGCGAAGTCAGCGGTAGAAACCGCACGGGAAGGCACCGGGGACTGCGGGACCTCACCCTTCTGTCGCGCTTGAGGCTTCCACATGCTCTCTCGCGGGATGTCGCTCCGAAAGCACGCCTCCGCGCGAGCCCTTGGGCCGATTTTCGTCGAAGCAAAGATCCACGACGGCACGGGACATGTGGCACGATATCCATCAGGCATTTGCTTAACGAAACTGTCAGCGAACGGATCGATATGCACGTAACGTCCGCGATGGACAGAACAACGCAAGTGATGAATACGGCACCCAAGCCGTGGGGCAAGCGTCCCACTGAGATAAGAAATCACCCAAGTCGTCATGCTTCATCAGCGTGAATTCGATGATAATCGGCCCGAGGGCTCGTGCAGAACCATCATTTTGGGGAAATATTTATTGTTTATTTCGATGCACGTACACATCCGCGGACTCGAGGAGATGGAAAGTTAATGTTTCTATCAAGCACCTGTTCCTTCCATGATTTACGGTACGTAAAAAATTACAATGGAATGCCCACTTGGATACCTGAAATGCGTGAAATGGGCGAGGTTCCGCATTCTCAAATTCCTTTACCACCGATGTCAGGAAAAGGTGACATGTACAGGGTGGCTGAAACGTAACTACGACAAAAAAATTGAGTTGCAGAGTCAACTGACCGAAATGATCCAGACCGCAAAAAATACCTCATCTGGAAGCGTAGAGAATGAAGAACCTACGGGTTCAAACCTCTGCATACGCACTAGCATTTTTTGCAAGCTTGGCACGCGGTGAGAGAACGTGTGGGGACGTCATCCACCGCTGCTACGAGGGAACGTCCTTTTCTTCATGACTGGTTTCGAGACGCGTGGTTAGTGACCCTACGAAGGCACCACTACGAGAGATGAAAGACGAGCTCGAGAGACAATAAAACCCCTCAAAAAGATACCATTTGAATCAGTCGTTTGCCTTCAGCGACGGGAGAAAGGTTGTCAAGGTTGACCGCCCCAACGACGGACCCAGATCGAGAACGCCTCCGTCTAACCTGCCGGCCGTCAGACTGCCTCTAGGGGAGCCTTCGAAGCGATCCTCTGGTTCGTCGCGTCCGAGAATGATGGAACCGGCATGCGGTCTGGAGCCGGTAGGCCATCAACAGCCGCGACCCGGTGGAGGTTCACCGCTCTCGTCTCGAGATCGTCCGAGGATTTCCGATCCACTTACGCACGAAATGTGCACTCACACGCGATGGAAAACCTGATTCGCGGCCCGATCGGGAAGTTTTGCGGTGGTCCTTCGTCGGCATCGTCGTATGAGGAAAAAAATCACGCCACAGGAATGTTCTCAACCCGGATTGGAAGCCACGGCCGAGCCAGTCAACCTTGACGACTGTCTCCCTGTCGCTGAGGGCAAACGATCGAACCTACCAGGAAACCATTAGGTTTTTTTTTGTTTCTTCTTTTGAGTACGTGTCGCCTCCCCCGAGTGGTCACTGGTCACTGACCTTCACACAAAACTTACCGAGTGACCCTGGTGAAATAAATCCCTAAGGGCTGTTGCTTCACCCAACCCATGTTCGTCGACCGAATTCCTGGGCTTTCCTTGGTACGACCCTTCCGTCCAGCCGCAAAGCAATCGCAGGGTGCGAGGTCGGGGCTTCGCAGCGGCCAATCGGGCCGTGTCGCCCGCCCAACCTCGGCGATTCGGATTGCTGAACTTTGAAGCAAGCTGATGTTTCAGCTCTTTGGACGCTGGTGTCCCTATCACTTTAAATGATTATCGCTGCTCATCGACACCCACAAATAATAGAATCATAGGCCAAACGCGGAAGAAAGGGAAGAAAATAAAATCCGGAGTTCGAGTTCTAGGTTTCACACCAGTTCAAATATTCAGCCACCCTGCAGTAAAATGTACTGGAATACTTAAAAAGGTGCCAAGTGAAAGGGCGTGAGATGCATTCCATCTGCTCACGGGGCTCATTGAAAGAAGAGCGATAACACATGCGAAATTACTGTCACCTAGATTTCCCATCGAGTATTCCTTACGAAGGAGGTTTCAGACAGAAAATCCACTGAATTAGAGCGGAAACTCTTAGATTGCAAGTTTCACACGTTTTATCGATCATGATTAACTTGAAACACTACTGGAAGACAAAAGAAATTAAATATAAATAGTTCTGACACGAGGAAATATTAAATTATAAATAAATAATCATATTATACAATTTAATTACCCAATCAGATTTCATAAATAAAAAAATAATGAACATTCCTAATGGCAAACGGTGCAAGAAATGAAGTTTCAGGAGGGGGTTGCATTGCTGCAGGCCATCGAAGCGAGGGCCGCCTGGGAAGAGGGAACCGGTGGCGAATGAGCTCATTTGGATAAGCGATCGACGTCGAGGGACTCGAGGGAGCCTCCCGATCGACAAGGAATCCCCTCACGTGGGCTTCGATTGAGGTCGCATCCAGGAAATCCTTGCCCTTTACCGTCGTAATATACCAGGTGGAAAAGGGTTGCTTTCGCTGTGTTCCGTGTCTCGTGGCGCAACCTGACCGTGCAGGGGGGGATCCATCAAACCGGACGGGGAT